AGGTGCTATGATGTTTTAGGGCCAAGTACCGTCGCTCCTCTTCTGTACAAGGGTATGCTTATCCTACACAACACTAGCTTTCATGTGATAACCTCATTTCTGATTACTTCCCCAGCCAGCAGTAAGGTTCAGACTGCAGAATGGACATGCTGATGCTTTAAGAATGATGTGATGCAATAAAACTTAATTTGGTGGCAGGGTATGCTTACTCTAAACCGACACACCCACCTCCTTCCTACCTCCATTTTCATCAAGGCTGTAGAAAGAGCATGCTGACGCTCAATATTTGATGGTGTTGCAGGGTATGCTTACTCTGAATAAACACTGAGCCCCACCCTAGACCCCCCCCCCCCCACACCCTTATTTACTTTATTATTTATTTATTTTTTTAGTTGTAGGTAAAAGAACCAACTTTAAATGAATAATAAATGAAATTTTCTTATATTGTTTTTTTCTTTTCATTTTCTCCTATTCATTTTACTGATCGTTTCAAGGTTTTGTGTTTTCGTTCCTATATTTCACCTGCTCGGTACACGGTGTACTGATCCCTTTCATTCTATTTTTAGGTAACGGATGGAAATGATAACCAACGACAACCAAACCAATTTGACTTTAATTGACTATTACATTAATGTTTTTGAGATTTTACTGGCTATTAACTATGACTTTGATATGAATTTCAGAAAACATCCCCTGAATTCAATCAATGGTTTAGATATTGAAAAGCTACGAGATCTACGCTATGGCTACCAGAAACCAAGCCTATCCGTAGGGTGTTGTAAATAAAGATTTTTTTCAATTATCCATAACCATGTATAACTATGCTCACCCTTTTGTGCTACACACAATCTCACCCTCGAATCTCAACGTTCTGAGATTCTGTGTTGGAGGAAATGTAAGGTTTGCTAAGGTTAGGATTTGTGTAGGGCTCACGTGGGTTTTGATTAGGTTCGTGTAAGAGGTTGTAGGGACTAAACTTGCTTGTGTTAAGGTGATCATAGGTATTTGAAACAAGATAACCTTTATTTACAAGATAATAAAGAACTATATTTGATACAGTTAACAATACACGTTATAGTACTAAAATATCAACATTTTTACATTTTCAATGATATAACATTTTCTTCTGGCGCAAATAAACAAGTTATATGACTAGTGTGTTGGATTATCGATACAGCAGAAAATAACGATTGCATCCACATCTTGTCTAGTAGAAATTCAGAAGCTGTAAGTCAAGGTTGTCGACTTCATAACTACTATTTACCCCGTTTTGTCACTTTTAGATTAAGATAAATATTACGATAAATGAATATTCTTTAGATTCTACTAGGTGTAGTAGCTGGGATATTCTGCTTTAAATCTGAAATACTCACATTAAGCTTTTTTTCATAAGTAAAATATCACGTTTGTCGACATCAAAACTATAATTAACCCCGTTTTGCAGAGTGTGATCGAAGATCGAACCAGGTGGTGGCTGGTTCATGTTCTATTAGTATTATCATCGTACCTTTGCTAAAGGAACATGCTGGGACATAGAACTGTATGAAGGCCATGGCTTTCATGCGTCATGGGCTTATTGCCAGTGGCGGCACCAGTGGTAAAAAAAATTGGTTTGCACCCCCAATTGTACCCCCACTTTATTTTCAACAAATCTAATTGTCTACCTTTTTTCTCCAAAATATTATGTGTCAGAATGCACAAAATCAATTCATTTTTTTTTAAATTTTCTTTATAGAACCCTCTAAGACGCTATATGAGAGGCTTGCGACTATTACATCACCACAGAGTAGCCAAAATTTGAATTCAGACTCAGCAGTTGTCCCCCCATTGAGTCAGTTTGTACCCCCTGTCTCGGAAGGCTGGAACGAGATTTCTGGAAAAGTTACAGAAAGTTGAATTTCGTAATTTAAATGGCATATAATAACTTAAATATTTTCAACTATCTAGTTAAAGGGAGGTAATTATTACTTTTGGTATTATGGACAGGCCCGTAGCCTGACGTGCAATCGATGGGGGCAATTTAGCAAAGCACCTTGACAGACGATTAAACGTCGGGAAATGGACTTTCATGGAGTATTTTAGATTCGATATCATTTTTGTTAAAACACACAAGTTATAATAGGTTACATTTTTATTGCCGTTTTAGTTTAAACGTAGTCGGGTATGTTTTATGGCAAAACGTTGAACAAATACGTCCAAGTTAATTTTCTGGGTACGCTTCCTGTTGAAGACTAGAAGAACAAGATTGCGCTGGCGAAGCTGAGTCATAGATCGTCGTTGTGGTGAGTCAACGCGAGTAAGAGTTGAAAAGCTGCTTTCACACACAGCGGTACTAGAACCGAATTTGGCAACGCTTTCAGCCAGTGCATATAATTTAGGGAAAGTCAATTTCTGCTCGTATAGTTTTTGAAGATCAAGATTGGAGTCCTCCTTTTCTGTCTTGGCAACGTTATCTTGGAAAAATTGTTTTGACACCTCAATTGTTATGCTTCTCGAGGCCCTTTTCCAGTATCACCTACAGCATGCTTCCAATCTGTGTAGCCTTCAGTGATGAATTTTTTTTTTTATGCATCCTCAGCTAAGTATTAACAGAAAGATATTTAAAAACAGATCTTAAGTAGGCCTACAGTTAGGAATACTTAGTATTTTGTTGAACCATTTCGCATAACGCAGCCCTGAAAGCCATAACCTTATTTTTCGTTACGTATAATCAAAATATCGAAATACTCATCATATGATCGACAATGCAAGAGCAGCTGACTGGTGCACTTACTACACCCTAAAATGCCTGACCAGAATGATCACTGTTTGCTATTCACTCAGACTCAGTTACCTGCCCCTCCTATTGACTCAGGAAAAAGAAAAGGTGTATTTTAAAAAAGTGACCGGTACATTTTTCCTTCTTCTGGTTATTTCCGACACGAGTAAATCTTCTGATGCTGGAATACGTTGGACAGCTTTCGGACAAATACTTAAGTTTCCCCCAGAATTTGAGAGATAGTTCCTCCCTTCGAAGAGAAAGGGTTTCTCTCCCACCTCCTGAAGTAGCACCTGATATATGAGAAGTTGAAGTTTTACCAGAGGTGTTACCAAATTAATTCAATGATTCTTTATCTATAGGCCTATTTGGCGTGAACTCCATATCCTTAAAACTCATTGGGGCAGAAAGGCATTTAATATCAGCCGTGAACCAACTTTCATAACCCAGTTCGTTTTAACCAAGGCTAAATAACCATCTTCAGTTTTATTCCATTTCTCTTTCTTGACATTAACAGTTGTTTTTTTTTTCTCCTTTCAAAACCCAACCTCATGACTTTCATACAATCATAGAATTATACTGACATACAGTTCTATAATACAATCGAAAGGGATAATGTGAACTTTGTGATTAAGACCGGAAGTCATCGCAAGCAGCTGTAGGCAAAACGAAGTGCACCATATTTATGGCTACTGTTTTTATTTCTTTCGTAATGTCAAATTAACACAATGGGTCTGTCATGCAATAAAGATAGTAAATTAGATACAGTTCTGTCAATCACATGGTGTAAATGATATCTTTGCTACATTTTTATTTGACAACAGGAACAGTTTTTGTGAGTGCGTGGGCAATTCGGGTTATTCAGAGCATTTCCTTCAAACATAAATAACAAAAATTCGTGACGTTTACCAAGCATGATAAGCTGGGGGCTCAATAATATAATCCGAATGATGTCAAATATCTAAAAATAGAAAGTGATACCTCTCAACATCCTCAAACAAAAAAGGGCTTGGTAATGTGGGACAATCTGGAGGAGCTGACATGTGGCAAATTACATTTAACACACTGATTTTAATATATCAACATTTCACTAGGTAGGCCACATTATAAACAAACTGAAAAACTGTGCTTGTCAAGATTTGACCAGGCCAAAGCCAAAGGAGTGGTCTGTTGTGAGGTAATATATCTTATATAATGTGATTCAATATAATTGAACCCTCCAGCTGTATTGATTGAATTATGATAGATCTCTCAATTGAGAAATAAGCTCACAGTGGAAATATTTCATGTTGAAATTGAGATTGATTAGGGGATTTAAAAGCTTAAAAATGCAGACATTCAGATAATAAGTGAGTCATTGTGCAATATTTTGAAATTGATGTAAGTGGATATACCTAAATGCTTTAAGTTCAAAGTTTATCATTTTAGCTTCTAGGGCTGTGTTTGTCAAATATCATTCCCCATATTGAAAAATTTCCATTTTGCTGGGTGTTGAAATCATTTTTACAAGTGTTGAAATTATATCTTCATATTATTCAGTGACTTTGATTGTTTAAACATGTGTTATTGCTAACCTAGTGATCTACAAATCTACACACCAATCATAATTTATGAAAAAAATCCTTTATTACAGAGCTATATTGTCAAGGTTTTACTATAACCTGATTGAAGATGATCAAAAGTCATGAGTGTGGAAGCAGAGAAATCACGAAAAGAGTCTGTTAAGTCACCAGTATACAAGAAGAAAAGTGTGGAATTCCAAAATATTGAAAGTCAAGATTGCGATCCTAACAAGTTATTAGAAAGATCCCAGTCTGATGCAGCATTATTGAGAATTGCCTATGAGAAAGGTAAACTTCGTGAGACAAACTTTTCCATTGACCAAGTTCCTGTTCCATTAGATCCGACTCTTAGTCAAAGACGAGAACGTCTAAAACTTGCTGAAAATGCAACTGTATACAACGATGCATCTGAATCCAATTCTCCATCAGGACATGGCTTGCTTTTGCGAAGTAGGTCACGTAAGGACCCTATTTTAGACACGATTAAACAAGAAGAAATACTGAATGTGCGTAGACATAGTATGCCTGAATATGATTGTGGACATGACACCCCTGAACCCCCAACCCCTGACAGTGATGATTCTAGTGGAATAAACTTTTATGCTAAATATCCATTACATTTAAATCCTGGAGCAGCTATACACAAATTTAGTCATAATTTAAAACTTAGTTATCAAATCATGTCTCAAAAACTAGAAGATTCCATTTCTAAACTGAAGGCTGAAAGTGGAAACTCTGAGCTCCATTGCCAGAATTTGAGTGATATACTCATTGTAATTGCAGAAGCATGGAATACTCCCATATATGGAAGAGACTTAGCTTATGGACTGTGTGATATAGTGAGAATGGAAGGACTGTTAGATATTCTCATTCAAAACTGTTCATCTGAAGATGAGAATATTTTGAAAGGCTCTGTGGATTTATTGGAGCAAGTCATGTCTACTAAAAATAGAGAACGGTTAGCTAGAATTGGCCTAGATAGAATTGTGCACATGACTTGTAAAGCTATTGGAGATACTTCAATAGCCACTTCAACTGTTGGAATTTTGGAAAATCTTTTTAAACTCTCTGAAGAAACCTGTACAAAAGTGATTAATTTGGGTGGACTAGATGTCATTTTACATTGGTGTCGAAATAATGAGGTTGAAATTCTTAGGCGTTGTGCAAAAGCTTTGGCAAATCTTTCTCTTTTTGGAGGTTGTGAAAATCAAGAATTTATGGCCAAACATAAGGTCCCAGAATGGCTGTTTCCGTTAGCTTTTTCCGATGACAATAGTGTGCGATATTATGCTTGTTTAGCTATTAGTGCGTTAGTTGCTAATAAGGAATTAGAAGCCAAAGTTTTAAAATCAGGAACATTGGATCTAGTCTTACCTTTTATTAACTCTAATCGTCCCTCAATGTTTGCCTCAAGTGATCTTACACACAAACAGGGACGGGATAAAATATGGCTGAAACATTTAATTCCATTGTTGTTTAGTCGCAGAATGGAGGCACAAACTTTAGCTGCATTTCATTTTGCTATGGAATCCTATATAAAAGCGGAACAAGGCAGAACTGAGGTGAGTCAACTTTTTTTTAAGCAGTCCAATTGCAATACAAAAATTTTGGCCAATAAGTATTGAATGAATAATTTTTCTAGACTACATTTGGATTGCAATTTCTTCAGTATTATCCATATAAGCTTATTTTATATCCAAATGAATAATGTTCAACCCAAAACATCCACAAGAATGTCATTTGAAACTTTAGTTTGTAAGTAAACTTATCTTTGGAAACTCTTAAAAAAAATGTTGACAATGCTATGCATTAATTGATATAGTGACTTGTGTCTAGATGGGTAAATGTACACACTTAGATTATTGTAAGGACAAGAGCTTAGATATGTATTGAAAACTTATAAATGAAAAAAGAGAAAGTTAATTTGTAAATTTAATGCAAAGATCTGTTGTATATACGAATCCCCTTTGATTTCAGATCTTCCATGAAATTGATGCTGTTGAACCCTTAAAGAAAATTGCTAGCAGTCCCAATGCTGTGGCTTCCAAGTTAGCTGTAGAGGCATTAAAAATAATTGGTGAAAAAATACCTCATAAATTGTCACAACAGGTGCCTTTATGGACTGTTGATGATGTTATTTACTGGGTTTCTCAGGTAAGTTCTTTTGACTCTAATCTTAACTTAGTTGTAAATTTGTCCTTTCTACTGAAGAATAAATACCTTTTTTTTTGGAAAATCACATGAAAGTAGTTGTTTGATATTTTATTTTACCAAGTCAATTCAAGTGGTAAATTATGGCTAGGAACCTAATTTGCCAGTGGCATAGATAATATGATTCCTAATGTGATATGATACTATTGTCTGGTCAGTACATTCTGGTCATTTAATTTATATGCTTGAGTTTATTTAACTAAGTGTAAAGATAAATCTCCTGTCCAGAATAAAACTATAAATCAACCTGTTGTTGTTTGAGTGATATTTCATTTAACTGTGAATGGAATAAAAATTTTATTGTGATATTTCACAATTGTAACTGTGCTCTGGGGAATATTTCTTCCGGCAATTTTTAACTTTTCAATCTAAAGAAGTAGGATCTAAAAATTTTATCAAATACTGGATGATAAATCAAAGCTCTGATGGATTAAAAAATGTAAAAAGTTCATTTTGAATTTTGATGAACTTATACGAGAGCAATTTTAAATGGTCATCTCTGCAAATTAACTTGTATGCAATATTGTTTTTCGATGAATCTTATGGTTTGATAACTAAATACACAACCAATCAAATTGAATGTTGGAAAATTATGCTGTATTTGTTACTCTTTCCAAAGTGGTAAATAATATTCGTAGGGATAATATTTTACTAGGAAGTTGAGTTTTCTTTTGGAGAACTTGAGTAGCTAAAATGATATAGAGTTTGCGACATTTAACAAGTTGTGACGTCTCAATACTACGGAAACCGGTCTGAATTACATAATGGACGCTTGTGATATAAATTTTATGCAAATAAAGTTCATTTCTCTCTCTAGAGGGTATGCCTCTGTTCTGATTTTTCAAATGTGTACTGAATATGAATCCAGTGATAATTACAATTTCCTAGTAGGAAAGTGGGAACTTTCCAGCGGTAACGAATACAGCACAAGCCTTTCTAGATCTAACTGGTACTGGTATGCCAAATAAACTTATATTGTAATACATAGGCTTTAAATTATAAATTCTGACTATTGTAGGTTGGGTTCAGTAAATACAGTGATAGGTTTCAAGAAGAACAAATAGATGGTGATTTATTATTAACATTGTCATTAGATGATTTAACTGATGGCTTAGATATGAAAAATAGTGTTGTGAGAAAACGGTAAGAAGAAGTATTGTATTATATACCTTATAAGCTTACAACAACTGCAGTGTGATAGATAAAATTACAATTTTGATCAACAATTTTAGATTCTTCACCCTTATCAAAATATATCATGCACGTTTTGTTGTCTTAAAGCTATCATACACTGGCTGACCAGGCTCTTTGATGTTTGCAATTTTATCTAATCAATTATAATTGGCCCTTAAAGTGTTTTCCAATTTACATTTTTATTTTGAAAAGACATATGTTTTTAAAAATGAGAATAAAATTGATTTATATGATGAAATATCTGGAGGTGTAAATATCCTGTTTGCAACATATCTGGATATTGCTGATGCAGAAGTATTATTATTTGATTGTTGAATTTGATCCAGGATTATGATACATGTTTGTGGTTTTTATTGGTTTACTATAAAGGTGTGTTTAACTGAAGCGTAACTCATTCCTAATTTCACAGTATAGGATAGTCCCTTCCTATTCCGGTCTAGTTAATTAGGTCATGAGAATATTCTACAGTGACAATGTGTAAAATTACTAGAGATCAAGCTCTTAAATTTAACAGGTATTTTTGGATGACAGCATGTGAATGTTTCAACATATGTCACTCCAAAATGAACTTTTATAGGACTATCCCAATTTAATTTATGTGTCACTAGGCCCCCACAGTACAAAATACTACAAAATATTAGAATTGCTTCACAAATTTAATTGAAACATATTATATGTATACAAGCTTTTGAAAAAATAAAAAATGGTATCAAAAGTGAAAGGGAGCACTGATTTCAAATGCAAATCTGTTATAAAATAGTCTAAGTCAAACTGAAATTACAATCAATTAAAGAATTATTACCATGTTAATAAAGGGAGAAACTGGTGCATACTCCCCCTTTAAGTTATTAAAGAAAAAAAATATTGTAAGCTTATATAAAACAATAAGAATGTTATATAACACTTATAATTAGAATTTTTATACAGGAAATAATTGAGGAAAATAATATATAAGTATAAGCTTATTACATAATATTTGGAAGAAACGTGAAATAACTAAAGCATAAAATAAATAGCCATATTGCTGGTTAAAAATTTCTGATGTAAATAAAATACTATGACATGTTTTGTTACTAAAGATATTTTACTTGAAATGGGAAGAAGTACAAAAAAATTACGACATGAATCTTAAAATAACAGTAGAAGGATGAAAGAGACCGAGATAGCCATAATAGGTAAATTCATGATAAGAGTATTGACTAAAGGAGGATAGAAGGATAGAATTTCATGTGTTAAAACGGAAGTAGAGGGATAATAGGGAAAATCTGACATAAGAGATTGAAAACTCCCCTGGATATTTTAGATAAATTACATCACTATGATAAGTTGGTGTAAATTGCCTTTCTGCCCTTACTGTATACAGTAGAAATTGTATTACGAGACCATTCAATTGAATAATCCAAAATGGTATCTTACTGGAAGTGGTCTCTTAGGAGAGAATCATCAGAAAAACACCAGAACTATTTTGTTTTGATGACTGATATAATAAAGTAATGATTGAATTAATCTTCTGAGGATTAGCATATTGCCAAAAATAAACAATACTCTCTTCTAATCTCACTTGTATGTGAAACCAAGTGATGTTTATACAAGGGAGATAATGATAATGGTAATGGTTGCTTAATTGATTCATTTTGCTTATAGGGGAGTATAAATACATGGTCGTGGTCGCGTAATGAAGGTGGTCCCTTATCAGTTGTTAAATATAGAAAAGTTGTAAGGTGGACTATATTGTGGTTGTATTTTGAAGGTGATTGATTACTGATCGTTTGAGCAGAATTCACTGTAAATGAATGACATTTTATGTAAAATAAATCAGTACTTATAATCAAATGATTTGAATTATCCTGATTTGAATTATCATGTGCCAATGAGGAATGTTACCACCTTTAATGATTTATGAACTGAGTTATTATGTGGCAATTTAAACCCACAAATTCTAATCCTTTAAGCAATTAAACTTCCTGAATAAATAAACAATATTATATTTAATATCAATATTTAAAATGTCAAAAATTCATATGTTTACTTAATGACACGTATGCATTCCATCATTTCTAAATATATTAATATAACATTAGATCTAAATATATATATTAGACATATAGACCCTCTATTGTTCTAAATACATTATGTTCTATTTAACTGAAAAGCATTGAATTTGATGGTTTTTCAACTTAATTAGATTATTTTAGTATAGGTTTTATTTTAATTGCTTAAATATGAACCATGAAGGCGTCCTAATATTTGCTCTACATATTGACAAATCTTAGGTTTTATCTGTACCACTTTTCAGAATTAAAATCCTGTTAGTAGTACTCCTGCAATTTAGATTTAATGGGTCCAACTTAATCTTAATCTTTTCAGATTTATGCGAGAATTAAAGTCGCTAAAAATAACAGCAGATTATTCGTCATGTGACCCCACAAGCTTAGATAATTGGTTGATGAAATTGTCACCTGATCTATCCCAGTATACCTATCATATGTTACGACAAGGGGTGGATAAATATGTCTTACAGACATTGAGTGAGGAAGAATTACGGAATGAATGTGCAATTTGCAACAGTATACATAGAAAATTAATAAGTCAACATTTACATGGTAAGTAATTTGACAGTGCATTTTGGGAGGGAGGGAGGGAAATATATAATCTCAGTAAATTCTCCAACCCTTTCTAATTTGCAGACCAGAGTAGACTGGTTATCATATTTTCCTCTGAATATACTGAAAGGCAAAAATGTTGTCACTGAAAAGACGAATAAAACTTAACATTCACTGACAGTTAAATATTCTGTGGTCAATAACCTTGTTTAACGTTCTTCTGCTTCATTATGTTGCCATTAAATCCATTTAACACAGACTTTTTTACATATCTGTAAGAATTTGCAAATGTATATTATACATCCATTACATTAAACAGTTCTTTTGTCTTTGAGTTTATTTCAAGGGAAGTTTTCTGAATATTAATAATGGCTAAATATTTATGTTATCGATATCTTATTGTTATTTTAGAATTGGTCAGCCCTGGTTCCAGTTGTCAGAATTTAGCATTACCCCTCTCAGATCACCAGTTGGGTATGAGTTTAGGTAGTGGTATGAGAACTATAGATGTATTCATATCTTATAGAAGATCTAATGGTTCACAGTTAGCAAGGTACTTTACTTTATGTCCCTTGGATTGAAATACGTCTGCTGCAGATTACATTTGCCCTGTCTTAGGGTCAATATTTTAGATCTTTAACTCTCCCATAAGGTTGACATCTTATCTCCATTTTGACAGAAAGGTTATTGTTTTATTTTGCCCCTAATTCTTATTCTTAAAGTACACCAAAACAGTACACTAACGGTAAGAAAAAGCATGATATTTGTTGCTGTTGCCCTTGACAAATATCTCTCATTGCACACTGGCCTAGTTTGTCTTCATAATCCAACATAAACATTTCATTTGATCACCAGTCAACTTCATTTATGGAATATTACATATTTGTTTCATTTCAGTTTGTTGAAGGTCCATCTACAGTTGAGAGGATTTTCAGTATTTTTAGATATTGATAGGCTACGTGCTGGTAAATTTGATGAGAATCTATTATTGAGTATCAAGTTATCACGTAATTTTGTACTGATATTAACACCTGAATCATTAGATAGATGTATTGGGGATGCTGAAAGAGAGGATTGGGTACATAGGGTAAATATAGTTTCTATCTAGACATTATTGGCCATTAATGGACTCCTTAAAAGGATGCTGGCATGACAAGTCTAGTCACTGGTTTAGTTGACAGCGAGCCTATAGATTATGATCAAAAAGTATTTCTGGAACCTATCTGTGTATTGATCTACTAATAGTAACCTGTAAACAGATCAACAAGTAATCACTGAGTGATTATTGGTAAATATTGTATACATTGCTTGTTTACTAAATAAATTGTAAATACTTTTAGGAAATTGTAGCAGCGTTGGAAAGTAATTGTAATATTATACCAGTTATGGATACCTTTACTTGGCCTCCATTAGAGAAATTACCAGAAGACATGCATCCAGTTGTTAGATTTAATAGTGTCAAGTGAGTATAAGATGTAACTTGTCATAACTGTCACTTCAGTTCTGTGGAATATTTTGTCAGCAGCGAGTAAAACTGATCCAGTGATGTTGTTATGCAATTTTCACCAATGTGCATTTCAGTTTGTAAATTGCCACACATTTCAACAAAAATTAGTTCATTTTGTTTAAAGGTTCCTTCTTGGCCAATATATCAGCAATGCAGAGTTCCTGTCAAACAAAATTGGCAAAACACAGCCAATTCATCGAAATTTATGATCTTTTTCATTTCATTACATAAATCTGACCTGAATGTGTCAATTTCAAATGAAAATTAGATTAGTTTCACTGACAATACTGGATATTCCTCTATTTGACACCCCTCAACTTTCTATTAAACTCTTCCACACATGCATAATTTCTATCATTACGAAACTGTACATGTAAGATTGGAATAGCTTAGGGTTTTTTTTTGTTGCATAAGAAATTATATTTTTGTGTATTTCAGATGGATCCATGATTATCAAGAAGCTTGTGTTGATAGATTACAGACATTTCTACGTAATGACCCAGATAAAGAGAGTAACTCCTTACGCCACAAACCTTCATCACATAGTATAGCTTCCTCACCTTCCTCTGATGACTTGTATTTAAAATCTGAAAATTCCAATAGATCTATCTGTAGTTTATTAAATGAGACTGGTAGTTCACCTTATTGACGTTATAATGTCAACTTTTATTGATGTCAGAATGTCACCTTTTTTGGATATCAAAATGTCAATTTTTATTGAATGTTGGAATGTAACCTCTGGTGTTAGAATTATCTACTTTGATCTACTGATGAAAGGCATTTTTATTTAATGCCACCTTTCAAAATTGGCATATAACATTTGATGTCAAAATTTTACCATTAATTAATATCTGAATGCCTTCCCTTTAGAAGATGTCAAGTTCATGACCTTTGTGGATGTCAGAATTTCAAAATGTTTGCAGCATATACTTTTTGAAAAGATTTCTAAGAAATATGAATGTGACTTTATTTTATTCTCAGATGACCCTGGGAGTAAACTACTTTAGTACTAACCTTGTATTTAGTTATTTAGATAATTACTATTTGTACTATATAACTAAAATATTTGACTTATGCATTCACTGGTCCAAATTTCCAACTGCTAAAAAATCTGCTAGATAGACAATCTCTTGAGAATTCTTTGATTTAGGGAGACAATTTGAGAAAGGGCTGGTGAAAGCTAGGCACCTAACTACAGGGCTGTTGATTTGGCTCTATATGCTGGACATGACCGACAGGGCTGCCTTGTTGAAAATTCATCATTTTGAAATTTTTTCAGTGACCCTATTGGTGGTTTTTACTCACAATTATGCCAAAATTATTATAAAAGTTCTTTCTATGTAAATTTGTATATCAGCATATATAATAAAAATATGAGATTACAGAGTTGAAGGATTCTTTGTCTAACACAAAATGAATTAAGAAAATCCTATGTATACTTAAATATTCAAATTATTTATTTACATGTATTCATGTTCTGTAGTGTCAACATTATATAAAGCTAAATTTTAATCAAAAAGCAACATAGAAAAATAGACAATTTATATTTTTCTATACTAATATATTGCTATATAAACTATTTATATCATATATATTGTGTGTTAATTAATTTATTATGAAATGAGATGAAGTTTTACGTCCTACTCTTCTGATTAATTTATTAAGTGACATATTTTTTTCTATATCACTCTACAATGGATGTATTGAACACAATTTTAACAGTTGAATATTTGTTATTATATTAAAGAAATTGTAAAGAGGTTTTCTAAATTTTGTATGTGTATGGGGGACACTTATATCATCAATTTTCCCCATTCCAATTTTCAATTAGATGTCTGAGGTTTCTGCAATTGCAGGAACCACAAACAGCTGATTGAAAATTGGAATGGTGCAAAATGATGCTATCAGTGTCCCAGATACACATACAAATTAGAAACCTCTTTACAATTCCTTTAAGTATATTAATTTTTAACTTTTTTGATGTAATTTCAACAAAAATATAAATCAAAGCTTACAATGAAGTGTGAAGACCACAGATGTAATTTTAGCATGCAATGATATCCTTAGTATTTGTAAATTTATATCATTAGATAAAACCAAATCTCAAAACTGTTGCATTGACGGACTTGATTGATTTGAGGATTTTGACATAAATAAACCAGGGAATTTTTTTTTTATGATTGTTGTGACCTTCAGTCGTAATATTTAGGAAGGTTGTGAACAAATAATTTGAGTTGTTACAATTCATTTTTTGAATAATTTGAAGACTTGAAGTAAATAATGGAATTCTCTATTGCATAACACATTTTTTTTGCATGATTTTCTACTTAAAAAGCAGTTTTTGGTGTTTGAACACTTTGTCTTTTTCTTTAGCACTTTGTTTTTTCAATGACTACCAGTATTATTTGCTAAAATATATTCATTCTGGGCATTATACAAAATATACACTGTATAATTATTTGGAGGTAGTTTAAATAGTAATGTACTCAATATGGACCTGAACACAATAGCATTGGCTTACAAAACTTTTACAAAAGCTGAAAATGTTTTTGTAAAAGATAGAAGGCATTGAATTTCTTTTGTTGGGTATTGTAATGGGCAAACCCATTATATAGTCTTTTTGGTTTGACAAAATAATCAGTCAGTATTCAACAGACTTATATTAAAGCGATTGTTTATGTTTTATATGTGTATCAGGGATACTGATATCATCTCTTAGAACAATTCCAATTTTCATTCAAGTGTTGGTCTTGCAATTGCACTAAAACTTAGCATGTTAGTTACACTGCAAAGTCCTTTAGATATTAAAATCGGCTTTAGTAGTAACACTATATATGGTTAAACAGCTATTTGATGAAAAATTGGTATGATGCAAGAAAAAGCTATAAATAGACCTGATACACATATAAAAGCTGAAAAACATATTTACAATCCCATGAAGCTTTTAGATATTAGTATTGACAATAGATCATCAGGGTTTTAATAAATGGCAGTAACATTAGAAGTAAATATTTGTATACTAGGGCAAAATGAACAAACTTCCTACAGTGCCAAAACACTTGATTTTCTCATTGATGACGGAAAATTCCTGCTGAAGGCTTTGTAATGATAAGAGCTGTTCTTTGCATTGAATTTAGGATATACTTCAAGGCACCCAATGACCTCGGTGAACATAGACTAATTTGTTTTCTGAAGATTATTCAAAGTACTTCATTTGCTAATGTTCCTGATCATTTGTTAATAGTTTCTTAGCAGATATTTGTACAACAGTCAGCATAGATATTTGTACAACAGTCAGTATAGATGTTTGTACAACAGTCAGTATAGATATTTGTTCACCAGTCAGCATAGATATTTGTACAACAGTCAGCATAGATATTTGTACAACAGTCAGCATAGATATTTGTACAACAATCAGCATAGATATTTGTACAACAATCAGCATAGATATTTGTACAACAGTCAGGATAGATATTTGTACAACAGTCAGCATAGATATTTGTACAACAATCAGCATAGATATTTGTACAACAATCAGCATAGATATTTGTACAACAGTCAGCATAGATATTTGTTCACCAGTCAGCATAGATATTTGTACAACAGTCAGCATAGATATTTGTACAACAATCAGCATAGATATTTGTACAACAGTCAGCATAGATATTTGTTCACATCTGGGAATAATAAAACCTTGAAACGATCTTAGCTCTAGGATGTCCTAGGTTCTTATCTTCTGACATTGATTCTAGGACGTCCTAGCGCTAAGATCGTTTTGAGAATACATAGCCAGGGTTTTATTATAAATTGTAGAGACATTATGTTGAACAATATTGTGACATGTTATTTATACTGTACAGTGTTAAAACTTTTTTAAGAAAGATTTGAAGTATTTCCATCAAACACAAAATATTGTCGAATATGTAAAAGCATCACTACATAATTATGTATTTCTAGGCACATAGTTTTCTTCTTCCATTTTACACTTGATTTTATTAATTATTAGTGATAATAGTTTCATAATAAATTTTATCTAGATATAGTGACTATGTTTTTTTTTGCTATATGATAGTTTCATTGTAAATTCTTTAAGTTGTTTAGCAAGTTAGATTGATATATATGTAGTTGTCTTCATAGTTATTTGTATTAGCGAAAAAATCTTTGTATTTGTATTTCTTATTAGTTTGTAGCATGATATTGTTCTAATAGATGTCAAAAGAGAATGATTTAAATAGTTACCTCCCTTTTATTGCCTAGCATGAGATGCAAGTTGGCAAAATGTTGACACAGTTTTTAGCTAATCAAATTTGGTGTTATTTTTCAAATGCATATGACTGAAAGATACTGCTAAATCACTAGCCAAAACTCTTTTTTATCATTTCTGGTTTAGATCAGCTCAATTTATTGTTTCTTTAAGATGTAGTTTATCTTTTACAATGAACTTAGCTCAAACTTAGAGGATTTTGAAGTACTTTATGTTGTTATTTCTTTTTTTTTTTTTTTATCAAGTTTCAACATTTTAAGAAAATGATTGTGATTTCTCTACTGACTTCCAAGTTTTCTATTGTTTATTTAGATTTATTTTACTTCAATTTTTGTGTAAAAATTGCAATGTTAGAATTTTTTTTGTTTTAATTACTATTACTATTGGTCTAAATATTTGCTAAGCAGGCTGATAGTGTTCAGTCCTCTTTAAATTTTTTCTTTATGTACTTAAAATTTTCTGCCACCCTTAAAAAAATCTTGCATATTAGTATTCAATAATTTTGTATATTGTATAGATGTAATTATGTCAAGTATAGCACAATATTATTGAATAATTTGTGATATAAAGTTATAATTGTTAGACTTGTTATTAGTTTTATAAAAGATTTTCCTACTTGCTGAATGATGATCAAAAAATACTCCTAATTTGTGGAAAAAAGGAAAATCTATTTCACTGATTTCCTTCATGGAAATGGAAGTAAAAAAAAAGATTTAAAGGAATTTTACAAATTTCCATGCTCAAAATCAGTATAAAATTTTTTTTTGACAAATTGCTACTTTAATTTAGTCATTAATTGTGTGCACTGTGCTGAAATAAGTTTGAATTTTACAATATATTGGCAGTGTTTTTATAGGAGAGTATCTTCTATAACACCCACAAAATGATATAAACAAACTTTTGATGTGTTCACAATGTATATTTCAACAATCCAAAGATTTCTTGTTATAAATGTTTTAGTTATTTGTAAAATGATATCTAATATTTTTAGTCTGTTTAAGATATACTAGGGCCGTTTTATAAAAATTTTTTACTTCCTTTATGATATTTCTCATTGCAATTTCGACATGTTGGATAAATAAATTCTTATTGTTAGGTTTTGGGGCTTAGCTCTTCATAATTTATACGTTTTTCTTGTAAGAAATGTACTTTAGAGAAAGGGACATGAATATATTCTTGATTGTGGATTTCTAAATTTTTAAAGGGTTGTTAAGAGGCCATTTTGAAATGCTTAAATAATTTCATTATTGCAAATGTTGCTATTAAACCGAAGAGTCTTTGTGATCGCTATGTCGTAAAAAACTTCGTTCAGTAGAATTACAGAAACCACAGAGGTCTGACTGAAAATTGGAATGGTGCAACTTGATATCTTCTCCCCAATGCAAATAAAAAGTTTTAAAAACCTGAAGTTATTAATATATGTTGTCAGACAAGCCTTGTATTTTTAATCAGTATGTCATATCTTCATGTTATAATTATTCTACTACTAATTGATAATATTATTGTTTTTGTTTATTTATCATCTATAGTAAATAGATAATATATTTATTGATAACATTAATGATAAGATACAATAAATGTGTTTTAATAATACAGTTTTATCTTGAAACCTTACCTCTTTTACAAATACATGTACTCACAAAGTTTTCTGAGTTATCTGAAATTGGAGCTCATTCAAATAGATAATAGGGTTTAGTTTTAAATGCTCAACTATTGTCTAAAAAAGGTGGCTTACAGGCCTATTTAAAACACAAATCTGGTCTTAATTGATGAAACATTCTTTGCAAATAGAGCCCACCAAGATGGAAATTTCGTCACTTGATTTTGTGTTCAGTTGAAATTTGTCATCAAGTTCAAGGAAACACTGCTTAGTTGTTGAACATATGATATGAAAAAGATGACATAAAAAAAACTTCCAATCCATAACATCCTAATCTTTCCAGAGATGGTACAAGTCTAATCACATAAATGATCAAACAATTTGATATTCATGTTACTGAAGACTAATTACCATGGATCCTCATTGCTACCTATTTAATACAAAAGGGTTCATAATATAGTTTCCTAGCCTCTTGAAGAGCTTCTGTGGCCCTTAATACTTAAATGAGACCATTCCAATATCTCTTTAAGCAATATGGTTTCTATTTATTGTGAAAAAAAATCAGATGTGTCATTTTGATTCCAATGATCTATAGACAATCTTAAAGGGATAGATGCGCCATTTTTTTTACCACTCCTACTTTAGTCTCAGCTAAGCCAATCAGTAATAGTGTCGACAGCTCACCGTCCAAATTTGAGCCTTCAAATCCATGTTTGTCCAGGGTTATCCGTGTTTGAAAGTTAAAGTGATGACTTGTCATTTTAAGATACGCTGTTAAATATAAAAAAGACATATATAGAAATAGTGAGTAATTTCTTAGTTCAAAGTATTTTAAAGGAATTATGCGATTTTCTTACATTTCTAGTACTTCTGAAGACCATTTACATATATTCAATACTAAAAGCAACCCCTCAAAATGCCGCATCTGTCCCTTTAAGTTCAGGGGTTTTCAACCTTTTCTTTCTATTATAGTGATTACCCCTTTCAGGATCCTTCATCGGTTGCATTACCCCAAAAATTTTAAAATTAAATTTTTTTTTTTTTTGTAAACAATATTTTATTCCTAAGAAAAGGATTGGAGAACAGGCTTACACCTATGAAACCTCCTCTTCCAATGTCATTTAAAATTTCAGATCTATAATAAATCTTCTTGTTATATCTATAGAGCTAAAAAAATAAAAATGTAAATTTAATACTGTATAAAAAGAAACAGAGACACCATTCACTGAAAGAGCATAATTAATTGATGGATATTTTAGAAAGATTTTATTCACCATTCAAAATTTTTTCCGAAAAAAGATTCAAATATCATCACCATGAAAAACTGTTTTATTGACTCAATGTTTTTATACTAGGAATTTACTGGGTGGAACTGACAAGTGACATGACATTTTTGATCAGGACAGATGATTTGAATTCAGCATGTGTGCATGAATCAGAGTTTATCATTGAGATCCTAATGTCAATATATTGATAATATAATCTAGAATAAATCTGCCAAAACAAATAGTAATGAATATTGATCATATTACAATAGAACAAAAGTAAAAACATTCTACGATTTGTTTATTGTGATCCTAACATGGTAACCGTTTGTAATGGGTTAAGCTCTTTAAGCGGGAGCAGTTTGTGTTGATGTAAAATTAGCGCAAAATTGTTTTTCCTTTTTTGAATAGTATTGCTATAGAATAAACTGGAACATGATTTAAAAATCAATTAGTGTGAAAACTTAAATCGCCGAATAACGAAAAGAAAATTTATGTTTTTATTTTTTTATGGTGGAAAAAAACTAACCAAAAATAAATGAATGCTCATTACAATGATTTCACGCATGCGTACTTCAGGATACGATCAAGAGAGAAATATTTGTGCTTTCATACAGGGCACAATGTCGAAATGTCAATTGAGTTGATTTTGGCGACAGTTTTGGCATCAGCTTTATTTGGAGGATGGCTATTTGATTGGTTTATATTTTCCTTAGCCCTTATTTACGGGTAAGTCAAATTCTTTGGAGGAAAAAAAGCGGTGTGGAAAATCCGATCGATGGGGAGGGGCGCCGGTAGTAAAATATTTACTGTCAGTGTCAGTTCTCAGAGTCATTTTTGACACTTATGTCAATGAATCTGTCAGAACAATTTATCAACAGTGACTGTACATCTCACTTGATTATTACTCACTGTATAATAGTTGATGTTTAGGCCTATATTTAAAGTATGGTACTACATGTTCTTCTGTACTGACTGCAACTGCAGCTCGGCAGTGCAGTTTCAATACAGTCAATTGTTACTTCAAAACTTGTAGGCTGTTTGCCACTATCACAAGATTCGTTGGGTTATGTAGAACTACCTCAGTAGAAATACTGTGTTTCTAATCATCGATACAGTAGAAAGAAACCAGCCCATGTTACTTCTGTTGGTGTTACTTGCTATATAAGCTTAAACTTGCTGTTTGTAGGCTTTTAGTGTAGCTTAAACTGCACAGCCTACATTATCCACATTTATTTGAGCAGTTAAGACATTGCCATTTGCATTTAAGTCTACTGTTGTAGCATTGAGTACTAAGTTAGTGGGATGAGCTATTCATAATATTTGTCCTAGAACCATATTTTAGAAACATTTATTTAATTCGATGTTGCACTTAATGTTGCACTTTAATATCTGGTTTCAGAATATATGGCTCTTAAAGGGACATTTTGTTTTTTATCTGTTGGTTGAAAATTATTTTTGCATATGAATAACTTTGCTATACAACAAAATCTAGTCCTTTTTGATAATAGAAAATCATTGAACATTTTTCATACTGCCATTTTAAAACCGGATACTTATTTTTGCACCAATACTAAAAAGATCAGTCCAAATATTTTCTTGATACATATTGCAAACTACACTCAGGAAATCTTGCTTTACAAGTTTGTTGTTGGTATTTGAATATCGTTTTCAAAGCAGAAAACAATAATGAAAATAAAAACTAAGTCATGGCACAGATATTGTTTAATTCAATTCTACACACCAGTCTACATTGATTTGATTTGATTTAGAGTTAGGGTGTGTATTAATTCTATTCAGTTTAATAAGCCAACCTTGACAGATTTGACCCTCTTTTCATTAAGAATTACATTTATATACAGTACGGTATGAGTAGGACTATACTTATAATAAGGTTATTGACTGGGAAAGATTTTTGAATATTACTGAATCCATATATAAATGGCAATTTTTTTTATTTTGGGAGTGTAGTTTAGAAAAGAAACAAAAGCACAGACAGAGGGGGGAAGTTCAGTTAAAAGGAAGATAAATATCATGTAACGTATATATATATATATATATATATAATATATGTTACAATTATTACAATATTTTACTTGTGTAAAAAGACACCCCCCTTTTTTTTTACTGTAACTAATGGATACAATGATATTAATGCAATCAAGTGTTGTACAAAAAGTGCATACATGTGTGGCTTAGCTACAAAAAAATATGAGCTGCGGGATGTACCTCCTGTTTGACAAAGCTCACAAAGGTAGTGTTTTATCTAACTAAAAGTATTATTAAAGGCAATAGTTAAGAAATTTCAATGTACAAAATATACTTAGGAACATTGTATTTTGTTGTTACAAACCAATATACAACATTAATGATAAATGAAAATATCAAAGAATTTATTGAAGTTTGCTTCTTTTACTTAAAGGGACACTTTCTTTATTATTGTCAAGGATATACTAATTTCATGTGTTATTTCTTAACTGTTTCATATTCCTAGACCTTAGATAAACATAACTGCCAAATGTAGAAAAATTATGACCAAGTTTGATAGTTTAACAATTGCTCGAAGTTACTGAATAATATTGTTTTTTTGCTATATTTCTTACAACAAGGAAGAAATTATTAGGAAGTATTATTGGGGGAAATCAAACACAGGTAAATTATGTTTCTTTTTCTTCAGAAAATGGCTCCTACATTATCCCAAAGAGAAACTGTCGCCAGAAGATACCCCTGGTGTTTCCATCATCAAACCATTAATGGGAGTTGATCCTAATTTAAAACACAATTTAGAAACTTTCTTTAATTTAGATTACCCATCGGTGAGTTAATTGTGTTGTCATCAATAGTAGCCATGATGGACTAAGTCCAGCAAAGATATTTGTGCAATTTTGAAACAGGAAACAAAAACAAACTTGAGTAGTCCTTTTATATATAGTTTCAATTAAATTCCTTATTCTATTTCAAAACAAATTGGATATTTTTTGTAATGGTTTGACCCTCTGCGAATGTGCAAGATATCTTTGAATTTCTAGTTCTCTTCAATAATATGGTTTGATTTTTGCAATTGTTAAGGAATCTCTTTGATCTGCGAGTAGAATGACCCATGCAAGTATATGTTGCATTTGAACATAATTGACTTCTTCTAGGTACCAGTATGCATCAAGGAATGTGGTACATTTTTTTCGACTCTGTTCATTATCATGAACTTAAACATTTTTTTTCAAGCATTTGTCAATATAATATCTATCATGGGAGACAGATTATCCATGTTAAAATAATAATTTGTATTTATTGTAGTATGAATTATTATTTTCTGTACAAGATGAAAATGATCCAGCTATATTACTAGTTAAAAGTTTAATAGAATCATATCCTAAAGCTGATGTTAAATTATTCATTGGTAAGTCTGTTCTTATTCAAAGTGATGAGCGTGCATTCACATGCATGTACCTATATATGATGTCTGTTTACTCATGTATAAACAGCTATTTGACAGCTTTTGGATGCATTCTAATTAAATTGCAAATAGAGGAGATGTGTAAGGTGAAACGTGCAGGATTATCGATACAGTAGAAAATATTCGATACAAGTTAATCAAGACCTGAACCTCATGTATTCACTTCGTCTATTTTCTTCTGTATCGACTATGCACTGAATGGGACAATAAGCTTATACTTTGCCTTTTCTTGACTTAAACAGCAAAATGTCAGTTATGACATGCACAACAATATATTGAGTCAAGAGATTAGGGTGGTTGAAAGGTAACAAGTTCCTATCCAACAGGAGGCACTGGCACAGGGTTTAAAGTAAAAGTCTGAGTTAAAGCAAATCTTATCTAGTTTGTATTTATGTAGGATAAATATTTCATACTACATAAAAGATAAAATGATAATAAAGAGAAGACAGTTGTTTACATATTTGGTATATTGAAATATTGATATTATAGTCTTATGAAGAGTTAACTTTAATTCTAATGGTGGAAACATTTTAAAAATCAGACTGTTTTATAATAATCAAATATGGAAAAGGCAAAATTGACTTCACAATCTTAAAGGGGCATTCCACTTTTTCTATAGGTCAAAAAAAATTTGGCTCAAATTTATGATAACTATACACTGAAATCTAGAAAGCAGGTCCCTTGACATATCTGAATGTTTAAACTGAAAAATATCCAGCCGTTAATTTTAAATGACAAAACTGTTAAAAAAACATTATGTAAGGGGTTTTTTATATGCTTTTTGGTAGGTAAGAAAACTACTGTACAAATTTTAGCAAAATGAACGCCAAATTTAGAGAAATATGTCAACTAATCGAGCCGCTATAAAGCCGAACACTAAAACTAGGTCAAACTGCTTAATTAGCAATTAGTACTCTCTGATTTTATACGCCCACATCTCTCTACGTCCGTCCGTCAACATTTGCTTGTAAACGCTCTAAAAACTAGATTTTTTGATGGAATCAAATGAAATTAAATATGTGTATAAATATTCATAAAACGATGATCAAGTTCGAATTTGAGCTATTTTTGACCGTTAGAAGCAGAGTTATTACCCTTGCCCCAGAATCTTGAATATGCTATTACTATTGACGAAACTTAAAATGGATGTTATTGGACCTAAATCAAAAGGTTTGAGAAAGTTTAGTTTACTTCTGATTGAATTTAAGGCTTTTTCAAGATTTAGGCTTCCTACGTCAGTTTTGAGGAGTTTCGCCCTTTAACCTCTATACAGTAAGTGCTTCTATCAACATCAATTGCTCGTAAACACTCTAAAAACTAGAGTGTTTGAAGGAATCAAATGAAATTTGGTATGTGCATACATATTCATGAAATGTCGGTCCACCCGTCTGCTGTCAACATTTGCTTGATGGAATCAAATGAAATTCAGTATGTGTATACAAGTATATTCATAACACAAAGATCAAGTTCAAATTTGAGCAATTTTCGACCATTAGAGGCAGAGTTATTGCCCTTGCCCCAAAATCTTTAATATTTACCATCTGCATGCCGTGGTGGGCGTATATGGCTGTGGTCCACTATCTTTAATTAATGCTTTTAAAACAAATGCAATTTGATCAAGTAGATACATAGATGATAATAGCATATTTTAGAAATATTTTCATGTATAACGCTTTTGATAATGCAAACATAATATATCATTTAACCACAGTATTTTCACACATAAAATATTGTATCAGGAAGCAATATATTATATTTTATAGTTAAATGAGATCAATAATGCTGATAAAGATAGATAATTTTTACTGCCAACCTGGTTTATCAAGTCATAGTAACAATACAATACACAACAATATGACGTCATGATATTGTCTTTAGGAGATATATTAATATGATGGATTTACACCAATGGAAAAAAGAAAAATAAACAAAATGTATATAAAGATCAAACTAATTGGTTTAATTTAGGCTTTAGTTTCTCAATAAAATATTTCTCCTTGATTCCCATTAGTAGGCTGTCTTGGCTGGACATTTTGCAGAATAGAAATACCATAAAATTTGGGGATATTCCCCTTGCACAGACATCAATGTGTTTAGGATCCCGGATTTGTTGTCCATGAATGGTCATTCTGTTCCGTAAATTATTTCTACAGCCAATATAGAGCTTGTTGCATCCACAACATGTGATCACATATATAATAAACTTGCTAGAAAATGTCATATTAGTTTTCACAGTAAATTTGACCCATTGAGAATTTAAAAGGAGAAGATATATATATATTGAAATATATAAACCATATAAATAAAATAAATTTATGTATAAACTTTTAGGTTTAAAACATGTTGGCCCCAATGGTAAAATCAACAATATGATCAGGGCTTATGAGGCAGCTAAACATAATCTTATACTCATATCAGATAGTGGTATTAAAAGTAAGTATTTGTCTCAATCTATGTACAGCTCAGGATATTTTGTTTCATTTATATTCTATGGGTTACTTCAATTGAACATTTTTTTGATAACTGATTGTTAAGAGTTTTCTGTACTTTTTATGTGTATTGAGCTAATTGAGGACTATTGCAATTATAGTCACAACTCCATGGTTCTTGCAATTCCATTAAAACTTGAAGTTTAATGATGTAGCTATTGCACAGGCTCTTAGATATGATAAACAGATTTTGAGATAGTGATGTCACAAACATTTAGTTGTAGTCGAATTGCAAGAACCACAAGACATTTGACAGAAATTGAAATTGTTGATATGATTTGATATGACATACCTTCCTTGTAATCGCTTTATTATAATTGAAATGCCTAGATCTGTATATTTATCAGGCAGATATGTACACAAAAATTTCAACCTTTGGCTGATTGTAACTGGGGAGAAACTAAAATCCCTTCCCTTCTTAGGTGTATTATAACATGTCATTATGATTGAATTTGTATGAGTTCTTGTTTATTACAGTGAATGAAGATTCTCTATCAGAAATGGCATCATGTATGGTCAAAGATGTTGGCTTAGTTTTACAAATGCCTTATGTTTGTAGTAGAAATGGTTTTGCTTCAGTCTATGAACAGGTACTGTCTATTACTATTTGAATTCCCCTGTTAAGAGTACTATTTAATCATGATAAAGAACAAAGAGATAATAAGAGATAAAGCAATGTCAAAATGTTTGAAAGAAAGAAACAACTATATTTTACAAGGATAATAACTTAGGAGCATAATAAAGAATTCTTTCTACCAGCTGTTCCTTGGCCAAACCTCTTGGCATTGATCTTTCCCAGATTATCTATACCCATTTACTTAAACTGAATATTATGTAAGACTGAACTTCATAATTCTATATTAAAGCCAAAAGGAGAATATCAAAGCTTTATGCTATGTTAATTTTGTTGTGTCCATTGTTGCGCACATATTTATTATATTTGATTATATTAGTTATTATTAATGAAATTGAGATAAATATCAGTATAACATATTGAAAATGTAACAGCTGTCTTAATAGTACTGTTATTCCCTGTTAGACACAATAACCAATCTGAAAATAAACTCAGTTAGCGTATTTATACCCTTTAATTTAGGGTGTGGATTTTCCTTGGTACTGGATTGAGATGAAAGTGTTTTTTCAATGTAAACCTACTAACATTTTATTTAGATATCAATGCAAAGACAGTCCAAGACTAACAGTACTATTTTGAGACTGATATTCCAATTCTCTTAAGAAATATAGAAAAAAATTTAAAAACCTTTTGCTTTACACAGAAAATAAGCATTGTTGCATTTTGTTTTGTTGTATATTGTAGGTATATTTTGGAACAATGCAGGCTAGGGCTTGTCTCTCTGCTAATGCTGTAGGTGTTAATTGTTCTACTGGAATGTCTATGATCTTCAAGAAAGATGTTCTGGAAGTCGCTGGAGGCCTCCAAGAATTTGGAAAATATTTAGCTGAAGATTACTTTATTGCTCAAGCTATAAGAAATCAGTAAGTCATTATGTATATATTTTTCCAGCTTGTAGATTCCAAGAATTCGCAAAAATTATGAAGTCGAACTCAAAATACCACCTTAATGCAAATTTTGCTTTTGTTGGTGCATTCTTAAGGAATGAAACAATGCATGGCATAGTACTGAAGGTAATTGTTCAACCATACTTGTGACCTATTCAGAAGGCCAGCATAAAGCCAAATGTAGAACAGATGATTATAATGATCTAATTACATCTTGCCCTAACATAATGCTCAATTTATTTTATTTTATTATTTATTTATAAAATTCCAGAAACTTATCCTCAAGTTTGATATTATTTTCTGTACTATTTCAGAGGTTATAAAATAACTTTATGTACAAAACCAGCTTTACAAAATTCTGGTAATTATTCTGTCACAGATTTTCATAAAAGATTAAGAAGGTAGGTTATTTGTGATTTATTTTACCGAGAGTTAATCTACATTTTCTATGTTGAAACAATTTTCCCTGTAGATGTTTATTATTGATCAGATAATAAGTAGATATGCACCTCTGATAAGCTAGATGTTGCCACTTAAATGTAAGTTTCTGATCAGCTGTGGAAACACCAACATGTCTGAACAGCAAGTAAATTGAAATGAAATGAATAGAGTTGTACGTCAATTCAAATTTGGTAAGTAAATGTAATCTCTGATCAGCTGTGTAAATAATTTGCCATGTATAGATATAAACCTCATAGGATGTTAATAGTGATTTATATGCCTTTCATATTTAAATGATATCTTATATTTTATTCAGATATTTATTTATATTTCAGATGGGCGTACATGAGATATTCTATGTTACCATTATTTGTATTCCTGGAACCACTATCAGAATGTATGATTATGGGTGTGGCTGCTTCCTGGGCTGTACAGTTTTTATTTGATTTTAGTCCAATGGGATTTTTTCTTCTTCATGTTTTACTTTGGTTCCTCTTAGATTATGTGTTAATTTGTGTAGTTCAGGTATGAGACTTACTTTACAACATGATATTATTTTCCCCATTGCACAGTGCATGGCATTGCTCGTCCTCATTAGCTCTAACTGGTGCAGAAAAGGAAGGACATCAAACTGATTCAGTTCATTATGATATCAAACAAGGTTTTCCAAAGCCATACTATTGTTTGTAAAGATTTGCTTGGGTTGTCAGAAATCTGTGTTTCAAATGTCAGAAATTGAACTCCATTACCACAATATGTCTAATATGCTGGGAATTTGTGATGGGAACAAAATGTGTATTCTGAGAAGCATAAGACACTGAATGCACCTTTTGTTTGCTATAATGAAAAAATTGTTATTATATTTCATTATATCCAACACTCACCTTTTGTTTGCATTACAAAATCCAAGCCCTGGCTGGTTATGTCATCAAACAAACGGTAGTGGCTATGTAATAAATATAAGCTAGTAACGGAACGAAAGTTTGATATACACTATATCTCATCAATGTAGTACTGAATGAAATAGATAGACTTCATGCAGCATTTGATTTTGAATTACGACTGTTCAGATAGATCATCTAATAGTGATGAAAAGAGAAACTATATGTCTTTTTGAGGACATAATATCAGATCTTCTTGTAGGCAGCATGAAATGAGTTTTTATATAACAAAAAAAGTAAAAATTATCTATCTTTTTTTTTACAGAATGGACCCTTACCATTTTCCAAGTTTGAATTTGTTGTTGCATGGTTGTTACGAGAACTTTCTTCACCGTATATATTGTTATTGCGTCATGCAGACAGTACAATTCAATGGCGAAATAAGAAATATAAAGTTCGGTGGGGTGGAATCACTGAAGAAGTTACTACTTAGATTGTGGTGTTGTGTGAATGTGATGCTGTTTGACTGCTACATTTCCATTCTTATCATTCTTAATTTATTGATGTCTGCTCAAAGATCTGGAAATATTTTATGGGAGTTTTATTGTGTTGGAGCTCAACTGGACAATTTCAATAAGGAATGAAAGAGAAATGTGTCATCTTTAGTTGATTTACAGTGATAACAGTAATCAGTCAACTGTATTTATTCCACTCAACAAGGGTGTGTCAGTCAAATGTTCATCCTCATTCCAATATGTGTCAAGGTAACTTTCTTCCTATGAGGAGCTGTCCTTCAGAGTTATATCATGAAAGATATTGGAAGACAGATTGGAAACATTCAAATTCTAAAATCTGTGTTTAGGTAGAGATTCTGTGTAAGCTTGTCCAAAGTCTGCTGCAAACTTGCTCACAGCTGTATTATTTTGCATAGCCTGTGTGTCAGTTTCCTTCATAATCTTCCAGGATGTCAACTAACCTGTCTGCTAACATCATTAGCTATGTTCACTCTGTGAAGGATGCCAAGTTACAAAATGTAATCAAGTGTTTGCTCAAATTCAGTATCTAGACATGGACACAAGTTGAATTCTTAAGCCTGTGATAACAACTCAGGTATGGTGTCTGGATTAGTCAAAATATTTACAGTTTTCAGGAGATAATTTACAGTGAAAGTGAATACTTAAGTCGGTTATCTTCAATACTTGAAATATTGTGACATTCAACAATTAACATCTCTCAATAAAAATATAGACAAATCTAAACTTGGCAACTCAGTATCAAATTATTCTTTAAATAAAGAAAAAGAAAAACCAAATTACTTATCAGAAGAATGTTAAGAAATGCACCAGTTACAGGCTGTAGTTATACATGTCTGTCTTCCATATTACCATATCCACCTTATTAAAGATTATCTATAACTTTGATGTCTATAAGAACAATATAGTCTAGCTGAGTTTGAGATCCAGTATAATATCAAAATCATACATACATTTGTAATGTGATCTTAATTCAAGTATGTTTCAATTGATATTACACATATACAATGAACAATTACAAAGTCATCTAAGTTATTTCTTAAAACTCATATCATGAAGAGACTTGGAAGTGATTTTGATGCCTTCTTGGGAATGCTAAGAGATTCCATTTTACCATGTTGATTTCCTGTCTGACATCAGTGGTTCCTGTTATTCCAGAAAGATCATATTACTTCAACACTATCTCAAACTATTCAAACAAAATGGTAATTGCTCTTGTAAAATCATTACCTGTTCTGTAATTGTAGAAAACTTTTATTGCTAAAGTTGGGCAAGAAATTCCATGTAATTTATAGAAACAAAATTCTTGAAATATCATGTTATAGAATCATAATCCATGTTATTTGCTTGCTTCATTAGGTTTATTTGATCGATAAATAAATTTGAGATGTTTTTTTTCTCACTGAATGTCGATTTGTGCTCAATTGAATCATTTCTGCCGATTCCTTTGATTTTGCCTTGGTTTGTACTTTGTACTAATAGTTAATTATAAGAGCAGTATTAACATGGATCTATAACTTAAATTTCTATAGATAACTTGGTAATCTTTGTTATAGTTTGGTATAACTTTCTAAAGCAGCTTGGGCAATTTAGTTTTCCATCATCTTAGTCACATTAATCTGCCCAATGAGTTCATAGAAATATTTAAGTTTAGCACTGATTTTGTAAGGATGACACTAAATGATCAAACTGAATGATCAAACTCAAACCTGCTGTAATGTTAGCAGTGTAGTTTCATAGAGTTATAAAATAAACAAGTCTGAAGTTTTTAACAGAGGAACCTGTAGTAAGCATTTCTGATTAGAATTCTATGTTTTTGTTAAACTTTTAGTCCTGTAAATACCTGTAGTTATTTTCTATTTCCACAATGTTTTCTGTACCAGTTATTTAGCAATGTATCTGATGAATCACTTTGATCCTGATCTATGACGTAGCATTGTGAACAACTTTGATATAATTTGTTATTAGGGATGAGGATGCTTTTAATGAATTTTAATTATTATTTTGTCTGGAGACAATTAAACATGGAATGTTGTTGATTATCATAATTTTTGTGAAGATTGTGTAATGAATTTTGATGTGGCTTTGCATTAATTTATTTGCTCAATTTGAAAAATTATCATGTGATTTGAGTTTAGAAGGCCTGTTTATATTTTGGTGGAAAGATCTCGAAAGGATCCCAAAAATTTCAACCAGATATTTAGCAAGATGTCAGGATTGCATTCTGAATGTGGTTAATTGCTCGATGAGATATAATTTATATTCAATGTTCAAATGATCTAATTTCATGAAATCAAAGTATATTACAATAGAACTGAGATCAAGGCTGTCTCTACAGTCTAGTTCAAATTTAAGTTAATCTTGAATTTATGATCATTGTCAGATTTATTTGTTATTGTTGCTTTAGTTGGATAAAGGTATTTATGTACATCTGGGAATATTTCAGATAGTCTCTGATATCACTTGGAAGTGGACATTAACTTGTATACCATACCAATCAATTTTTCACCAAAAGATTACTTGTCGATATATCAAAAATGAAGTGATTATGATTTGGCCCAATGTATATAAATATCTTTGTCTTATACTTAATGTTACTCTTTCCCTTTTTCTACTATTAAATGATTAACTTAAAATTTGTTTTTCTTTTCTTGGAAATGGAGCTTTACATCCAAAATTATCAAAGAAGAAAAAATGTGTCAATCAAATATACTTTTAGGCCACTAGGGAGAATTTCGAAAGAAAATCAAATCTGGTCTTGAATTAAGGTTAAGAATATTATCCACTTTTACATTTTACCAGCATTGGCTACATTTTCTGTCAGGTGACTCACTTAATGGTTAAGAATTTCGCAATCACATGAAATTTCCACTGACTGACAGCTAAGCGTTAGCTCCCACGAAAAGCATCATATCAAATTGTCAAGATGAGGAAAACATAGGATCAACCTGAGCCCACCTCTACATGAAAAATATTAAATACATGGTGAATTGTTTTTACTTGTCAACTCTTATCAAACATTCAAAGGAAGTTGGGGATAATAGTAAACTCAGGAGATTCAAATTTAAAAAAAAGTCAAGTCAAACCTAGGTTTATTAGGCAAGTGTTATACTTATTAGTAAAGACTAGAGAACAATCCATATAATACTAGCAGATTGTTAATTTAATAATAATAATAATTAATACAATATTTGATGCTACGTTAATCAGGCTGTAATCTTGTGGATCAAATTTTCATTATAAATAGGAAATTTAACCTTAGAATGCAGCTGATATGTGTGTGTGCCATATTTAGTATACATGTACCAAAAAATAAATAGTTTGCACTAACTTTTTGCACTGTCAAAAAAAAATGTCTTCATAGGTGGAAGAACTCTTTGGCAACTCAAAACAATGAAAAATCTAATTCAAGAAATAAAAGTTAATTTAAGTTCTACAATTATCAGTTAAGACTAGAGTTGTAACTAAACTATTTCTGAAAATGTTTGATACAATATACAAAAACATTTGATTTTAAATTTGTTGGATTAATATCATAAGTTTTGTGAAATTGTGCTTACTCAGTGTTAGATTGTGATGTGAATACAATCCTCATTAGGGTTGTGACAGGGGTTTTTGGTATTGGTATAATAATAAGTAATACAATGACGCAAAGTAAATAATAATAAAATGATAACAAATGTTAACATAACAATAATCAGGCATCTATTTGGCTTAACCTTGTTCCAGTTGTTAGGTTCTAGTTTCAATTTATCAATGCTTACCTTTTTCGTTACTCGCACAGTATGAAAGGGACACACACAGTCCCCAAGTGGCATCAGGAGTTTCAGATGTCAAAGGAAACTAGATTATGTCAAATAGATATTACCTTACAATATACATGAATAATAATACATTTAAATAATAATATAGCACTATACTAAATTTCTTTATAATTATAAACAATGTTCTATATCATATAATACTATAAGATAGTACCAAACTAATCTCTATATAATATATAATAGCTTTATATCTCAAAATATAGACCAGCTTTTTATAGTAAAATCTTTTATATTGCACTGTCATAAAAATGTGTTAGTACCTAATATTACTGCAATTATAAACAAAACAAAGAAAAGAAAGGATTTGGAAGGGTTTTATAACTTCTATTTACATCATTCTTTAGTTTCTGTAATTCTAAATCTTGTCAAGTCACCATCAAAAACAACTTCAAGCTAACCAGTATTTGTAATAGCTCTTTTAAAGACATTTTGAGAACATGTCAGAAGTTCAATGCCAATTGTATCAAATGTCAAAGAAAAGTCTGTATCAAATCATATAAGGAAGGCCATGTAATAAGCAAAGAATAAAAGTAAAATACCCCCAAAATGGGAAGAGGGACCCAAATTTCAGATGGGGTCTATAAGCCACAGTGAAAGCTTAGTCTATATCAAAAATCAATTAGGAAGACAGAAATAATAATAGGTAAAAGTAAAGATAAAAGTACATTACTTGTGACCCAGGAAAAAAAATGTCACAATAACCTATGTTAATACCCAACCTTGAAGGTAACAGAAGTTATATTGGTCACTGATAAAAGATCTATTTTATCAATACCTATGGACAGTGATTTTAATAGATATACCATACAAATAAAGATAGCTTGCCAGATAATATACGCCCATTGGCAGTTTTGTTTTTGAATAAGAATATCTATTTATGGCAGCACAGAAACAATCACCAGAATAAAATATTCAGCCATATACTTCTTTTTAACTCTTTGGGGCAATATTGCATAATATTACCAAGTTTCATCAAAATCTGTCAAGAATTGTGCCTTCTTGAGTGTTTACGAGCAATTGTGGACGGACAAACAGACATGGTTGACACCATTATACACCCCCCATTTCATGTGGGTGTATAAAATTTATAAAAAAAAAATAAATTATAACATCTATAAGGTTTATATTATATCTTTATCTATTGTGAACTATGTGCTGTCACATCAATAAGACTAGACAATATTGTGTCAAGTGCAATATTTATCAATATTTATCATCAATATTATTACATTTGGGTATTTATAGAAATGTTTCATACAAAGGTGCTAAGGTTTGTATAAAACTGGATATAAAGTGAAATTTACAATCACATTTAGCTGATAACAAAGAATGAAAATTATCTGTCAGTCTGACAGAAATATAATTTGGATACCTGTTTTTTTCTTTATGGAACTTTGGTAGTATGTTTCAACTTGGCCAGAACATGACAGATATAACCATCTGTAAGTGTTACATAAAGTTGGATTCTCCCCTCAATCTTCAAACAATTTAAAATAAAGATAACAAATAACAATTTTGATTCATGCTTCCATTCAACTTTAAAAACTTTGAGACTGTTTTCTTCTTAAGTCAATTTGATACAAGACAAAATAAATATATATATAAAACTAATATAAAATTTATCAGGCATCTATCTAAGATCTGAGACTATATACCTCTTGATGTACACTATGGAGTTGTAATGGCCTGCTCCAATCTATTAGCTTGGTGGGATTTCTTTCCTGTTTCACGTAAATATGATATCACACTTTCCTTCTCTAGATCTATGGTCAGAACCTAAAATTCATAAAAGATTTTCAAGGTATTTAAGAGGGATATATGGATATTTGCTTTATCAGCTGAGAGAGCTCCATTTCAGCTGTCAATATCAGTTTTCAAAATGAAACTCAAATGTCGGTTGTTGGTAATATTAGAAAAATGTAACAACAATCTAACACAAACCAGACCACCTCAAGTAACACCTAGAATACCCTGTGTATCTGTATTAAACACCTACCTGATCACCTCTGGTAACACCTAGAATACAATGTGTATCTGTATTTAACACCTACCTGTCCACCTCTAGTAACACCTAGAATACCCTGTGTATCTGTATCTAACACCTACCTGTCCACCTCTGGTAACACCTAGAATACAATGTGTATCTGTATTTAACACCTACCTGTCCATCTGTAGTAACACCTAGAATACAGTGTGTATCTGTATTTAACACTTACCTGACCACCTCTAGTAACACCTAGAATACAATGTGTATCTGTATATAACACCTACCTGATCACCTCTAGTAACACCTAGAATACAATGTGTATCTGTATATAACACCTACCTGACCACCTCTAGTAACACCTAGAATACCCTGTGTATCTGTATTTAATGTGGAGGTAAAAATAATATCCATAGAGATTCTAGCACAGCATAAACATGTGGCTGTCTGTATATCACAAATATATAAATAACCATATTTAGTTATAACAAATAATATTCCATATTCTGCTGAAACCTGAAAATATAAAAAACATACTACTGGTAAATATCTTATGCTTTTGATCACGTAGGTCTTCTTTTTCAACTTAAAAATTATTTAGCCATAGATATTTAATTACTATTTGCCTTTCATCCAAAAAAACAACTTTTAGCAACATTAGCAAAATTATACAGATACAGGGATTAGACCACATCTGAAAGCCAGTAAAATTCAATATTTACATCATTAATTAGGATTTATTATGTGCATCAAATCATAACAAAAATTTACCTGTAAAGAAATAGGGAAATCATATCTGTCTGTATCATCTAAATATTGTACATGATCATAACAATTCCTTGGTGCAAAATTACCAACTTTATACGGACCTAATTCAATAACATGCACCTAAAAAATATTGTTAAAATACAATTGCATAAGGTAAATCATTAAATGATAACCAAAAAGTGAATCAATTTTTTCTCTACAAATCCTCATTGATGATATATCAAAAATATTTTGAAATAGGGATTTATTACATTTCAATATGACTGATTATTTTTACCCTACCTTGCCATGATCATGAACATCTCGGGTACAAACGAAAAATAAAGTTGAAGGACAAGGATTATCTGTAAATTTATAACTAGCAAAACACACAGCATGGGCTGTTATACACTGAGTTATATCTTCTTCTAAATTATATAGCTGTGTTACTCCAGATATCTTATCATCCTAAAAATTTCAAAATAACATAGAACTCATATGTGATAATATATTGACAAGCAACAGAATCATCTCTTCCAAACATACAGCCACTTTATCTTATTGATTGAAAATATGCATGTGTGGAAGAGTTCAATAAAGAATTGAGGGGTGTCAAATAATAATTCACTCCTGCATTCAAGTCTGCAGAAGTGAAATGACATGATGTTTGATATCTTAATTTAATGCTCCTGATTGGGCTAAAAAAGACTGTAAAATTTGCCAGGACAGCTGTGTAATTTCCAACTGCTGAGGGATCTTCAATGTGCAGAGCCTGAAGCAAACAATATTTATTGTCCATGGTCAAGTTTTGGTCAGCCAGTTTCTCTGCATTGAAGAAATATTACAGATATTGTACAAAGCACGTCATAAATCAGTTTAAACATACCTCAGGAGTCATTCCTGTAACAGCTAACCATTTTACTGCAGGGTCAGTTTTATAGCTGACTATTTCACTGAAAGCTAGTCGACTATGTCTATTAAACATCTTCTCTGGTGGACAACTTCCTTGATTAAAAATAATAACATATTTCCTTCAATCTTGTATCAGCAACGTCAAACTTTTAATAATATAGTTGGACAAAAGTTTGGTGCAAAAGGTCAGAAGATAAATGTGGATAAAACCAGCCCTGATATTTTTTTTCTCTCAGCAGACTAATTTCATCAGAGGTAGATTATATCAAAGACTATTTAAATGCACAGACAGCATTGTATTCATTTCAATTTATGGATTATTCTAATACTTGTATAAAATCTGAATAACAATAGCATCAATTTTGTTGAAGTTAAAAAAAAATACCTTGCCACAGATCCCAATGATATATAGATGTTTCTGTTACCATAGCTATGACATCAGAGTTGACCCATGTCCAATATACCACTGCTTCATGTAATCTAGTTTTACTAATTAATACTTTAGTATCAAGATTAAAGACTTCAAATCTCAGACCAGCTGCAATGAAAAAACAGACATCATCTCATTTGAATTTTTTTTAAAATGAATCCTAGAACAGTTTCTGCAGTTCTATGGCACAGGCGGTTAGAGCATTGGAAACTTTACATTTGCTAGCTTAAGTCAAACAAATGGGTTCTAACTTAACACAAATTCCAATTGCTCTGTCGTTTTCTCGCTCCGGTTCAATAAGCTAGCTTACTTTGCTAAAATCTCAAGGTCCTCAAATTGCAAGGGTAGTCTATAATAGAACAATACAATCCAATTCATACCTTTTAAGGCCATAATAGGTTGTGTTGGATTCATAATAACTGAATCAGCAGTAGTTTGACCTGCATAAGATATTGAACCATCCTTGGGATTTAAAACTGTTACCTACAATAAAATAATGCTACTCATTAGAAATCCATATGAATTTAAAATGAAATAAAATATCTCCTACATGGTAATGATTATCATACCTACAGTATCTCTAATGATACAAAGATCTGTATTCTGATAATTTAAATCTATTATGTTACTAATTTAACATGGGTAAAGTTACATATCATTAATATATTTTCCTGTCAAGAAGGTTGCACAGGTCAAAATATTAGATTTTGTACATACGTTAAGATATTTTCACTTACCATAGCTTTTTGTGCATTGTCTTCACTTTTACCATGTCTGATAGCTATCCATCTATCTGATATCATAGTGACTCTTGACCATGTTACTTGATCTGACGGCACCCCGATATGTGCCAACTGCAAACAAAGATACCTTATATATTTTCATAGGCATACACATGCTTCATCAAATAATAAAGCCACAATTCAGCTTACAATATACTTCCAATGAAGAAGCTAGCCTTTAAACTAGATAGTAAGACCTGACAAGGCAACAAAATAGAGGACTGTGGGGCAGCTAATCAATAAAGAAGACAGTAGCAGAGCAGATCTTGAAAGACAAATTATTGACTGTTAAATGGTTAGATGAGGCATATTCCAGTCAGTTCTGAAAAATGAAAATTTTTTATGCCAAAGGCCCAAAACCGTTGAGGGTCAACAACCTAACGTGTGTCGTCTCTCAAATTGAGACTAACAGATTTCAATCTCCATTGAATCAAACAGACTTTTACTTGATCACACATTTTGATCAATGGAATGATAAGATGGAAAACTGATACACATCCTCACCAGCTCAGACAGGTGTCAAATGATCCAGTGGATATCATTTCAAAGCAGGGTTATATATCTAACCTATAAAAACCCTTAATGTCCTTATATAGCTACAAAGGTCGAAGGATTATGAACAGGGGAGAAATACAGGAAGAAATAAAGTCATAAAGGAAGAAGAAGATATCTTTTTCTTTTTTTAGTTAGATCACCAACCTGCAACATTTCAGTAATGGTGATAGGTTGCCCTTTATCATTGTGAATAGTGTTGTTATTACTCATTGTGAGCTTTTCACTATGACTTTAAGGCCATCTTAATCAAACTTATCAATTATATCAAATGTCATCAACACTCCCACTATCTACGGAATTACATCTTTCTATAGAGAGGTCAAGAAGTTCTGTTTCCCAGTTCCTGCGAGCCCAGCACCACCTACAGAACTCTTCAAAGTAAAAAAATCACAAAAAGTCTTATTTCCTGTCAGACCACAGGCAATAGCTTAACATTATATGTCAAACTCTTGTACAATTTCTGTTTTACTCCAAGCTACTAGATTTGATCAAATAGCGTTTCTGTGTTTTCGATTATTGGAGTTCCAGGGTTGAAAGCTTAACAAATTCTATAAAATGATAACATAATTATGCAAGCATAGAATGAGTTGACAAATAAATTTAACGAATGCCTTTGGTATATTATTTACTTCCGGTCCAGATTTGGTATCGTATTTTTATTATTATTTCACGCTAGGTCGGATTTAAAACCAAAATCTTAAACAATGGCCTTGAAACAACCCACTGGTCAAAAGCGTTTAACCAATATTGCTGTAATAAGATTGAAGAAGGGTGGCAAAAGATTTGAGATCGCCTGTTATCCAAATAAAGTCACAAGCTGGAGAAATAAAGTGTAAGTAGTACAGGGTCAAGGTAAGGCCTACTGACTATTTACCCTACTTTTACCTCAAAACATGTTTACCAATTTTGGTTTTTTTGATTTAAGCTCTTGATGATAATTTTCACACATATACAGTTGTACATCCTTAAATCTCTTGGCCTATTTGGCCTACTTACTACTATCAGATATTCACTGACCCTTGCCGCTAGTCTCCTCTGATTTACTATTTAAAGTAAGGCCTACTCTGTGAGTGTGACCATGATAGGTATCTATTCTAATAGAACTGGTTTTAAGAACTATGGATGGGTATATCTCACAATCACAATGCTTTACCTATTTTCTAGATGTTTGTTTTTGTTTTTAATTAGTGTGTTTACTTAGGTCTTTAAGTTAAGCCTGAGACCTTTCCAATTTAACATTTAAGAGAGAGAATACCAAACAATAAATCAAACAAGAAGACACTGTAATTTATAGATTATCTTTTTTTTTTTCATATATTTTAGAGAGACAGATATAGATGAAGTTTTACAGACACATACAGTTTTCACCAATGTTTCGAAAGGTGAAGTTGCAAAGACTGCAGATTTAAAGAAAATTTTTGAAACTGATAATCATTCAGAAATATGTTTAAAGGTATAACATTTCTTTAACTGATTTGTCAAATGCATTTTCATTTTTTTTTAAATGAACTGGTGTTGGACAAGTCATATCTCCCCTAATTCCAGTGAACCCAGCTGCAAATTGGTACATGAAATGTGAGAAAAATCAATGCCAAATGATTTGACCAACGGCAAATTGGTTGAAAGGATCCTCATGAATCTAAGTTATGATCTTTGCTAAATATCTACATAATTTCTTCACATTTCAGATTTTGGCTAAAGGTGAATTACAAGTATCAGAAAAAGAGCGGCAGGCCAATGCTGAGTCAATGTTTCGTGATATAGCTACAGTTGTATCAGATAAATGTGTTAATCCTGACACCAATAGACCCTATCCTGTTACAATGATAGAAAAAGCTATGAAGGATTTACATTTCTCAGTGAAACCAAATAAGAACTCAAAACAGCAGGTTAGTTGTCTGCTTCTCCTGATTATGATATATAATGTCCACAGTACAGCTGGTTTTGACAAGGGGTTCAATAATTTATATGTAGATGCCTATAGTTAGTAAAGAAACTTGTTGAACAGGAAAGGAAAACAGATATTGAAAAGTCAAAAACAAGAATTCTGATCATTCTGCAGTGCAAAGACTCTTGGTTTAAATCTTATTTACAAGACTTCATATGTTACTATTGGTAATCCTTTATATTGCTGACAAAATAAGAAATTGTGCCGAAAGATATTTTTATGTGAATCTTTGTATTGTATTATAGGCATTAGAAGTAATCAAACAATTTAATGAAAAAGAAGTTATTAATATACAAAGAGCAGAAATGAGAATAAGAGTTGTTGCACCAGGTCGGTAAAAGTTATTTTTTATGTGGCAAAGAATTGGAAGACAAAAAAAAAAGCAAACGAAAAAATTTCAAAGATATCCAGGAAACCCTCTGAGGGAGTTCTATGGCCAACTATTTAAAATGATTTAAATAAACTACTGCAATGACCTTTCTTAAGCAAGTCAGTTTCTGTTGAGGGATATACCACTCATTGCTTAAATATCAGTTGTTAGTCAACAGTAACCATGGAGATATATCAAAAATTTCAGCAAAAGATGGTAAAAAATTAAGAGAGAAAATAAGAAAGATAGCTAGTCAAGTTGAAGAAGATAGTTTTGATGAAGATCTTCAAATGGTAAGCTTATTGAATACGTTCAAAAACTCCTTTAAAAAAGAACTGCTAATTACTATACCAGCACTTGCTCTGAAATACCTTTGCTTATAATGTGCAGGTTTTTTTTAATCTGAATTCGTATTATGATGAGTCAAATTTTTCTTTTTTATTAGGTTGTATTAATAGACCCAGGATGTTATAGAGAAATAGATGAAATCGTCAAACATGATACTAAGGGTAAAGGTTCATTTGAAATATTGAATTTAAAAAATGTAGAAGAAGGTGACGAGAAACTAGGATGATCTCTGTTAGTTTTATTCTTCTGTTGATTTCGTTTAATTATAATAACAGTTTGGAGTCAGAATGAAGACAGCAATACTTAGAAAGAATCAATCAAGAATTAATACTAACTTGTTAACAAATTGGTAAAAGAATAGCCTTCTGGTTATAAATATGCATGCTATTTTATCTTTTTTTTCATTCAATCAAAATTGAGTATAGATCTTATTCATGCCTTGTTTTTGAGACACTGAAAGCAAGGTTCATAACGCAAATTATTACATCCATTGATTGACAAGATGGCAACGTCACATGAATGAATAGCCAATTTTGAGTCATTAAACACTCGCTAAACAGCAAGAATATGGGCTTAAAACTGCCATTTCTTAGAAATGTTTGAAGGTAAAATTCATATGTAAGTATCATTAAATAACTGAATCAATTCCAAATTTAATGATGTAAAATATGACTAATTTCGAGTTAGTGGGATTGAAGAAGGTGGCTTTGAAGATGTCAAAGGGGAGATTTTATTCAGTGACATAACGTTACCTTTTCAAGGTTTGCGCTATGAGCCTTGTTCTGGATTCAATATGGCTGATGCGTGAATAAGGTCTATAGATGAGCCTTTCTGATTTTCAAACTTATATACACCTATTTCATAATAAGAGTGCTATAATAAATCTTTCGTCCAAAGCAATGTACACAAATTTTTATATATGGTTTGTGTTCAAGACATTCAGTATGCATAATGCAAGAAAAAATATGCTGGAATACTGTTTTTTGTTATCTGTAAATGTGGATGTCTTCTTGTTGCCCTTGAAATTTTTTTTACATTAAAAGTAGTGGATACAGCTTAAGCAATTGTTCAGTTTTGTTTAAATCTTTTACATTCTGCACTCTAATTGTATTGCCTTCAATTACTGTTACTTGTTAGTTATAATATTTTTTATTTGTAATTAATATTCTTAAAATTTACATTAAATATAAATGCCTTAGTGATTTCATATGCTTTTTATAGAAAAACTCCAAGATGAATTTCTGAACATCTATTCCAAAGTTTGGTAAATGCTTACACAAGAAAAAAATCTAATATTGTTCTTGTCCATGGCAGATTAGATCCCAGTTCATTAACTTCCTGAAGCAATCGCTTTGCATAATTGAATTATTTATTTATCTTTTAACCCTACCCAGACGTTATTAATTTCTAAACAAATTGATTTCTATTAATGGTGAAATCCATATTCTCTACTTGTGACCAAGACAAGTGCTTCTCCTGAAGGTCCAGAGTTCAATCACGGCATAGGTCGAGATAATACCTTCGGATTATTCAACCCGGTTTCCCCGTCAGTGATGCAGGTAAGAGGGGCTGACATGGAAAAAGTGTCTAGTCATTCGGATGGGACAATAAACCGAGGCCCCGTGTGCTACAGACTGTGCACGTTAAAGATCCCTAGACAAAAAAAGAGAAATTGAATAGAGCTGGCTAATGCCGCTGTCCTGGCAAAATTTCCTTCATGGCACCCTGCCCGTCTTTATTAGCTCACAAGGTGCAGAAAAGTAGGACGTAAAACTCCATTAATTTCATTCCATTTCTATAGGAGAATAGTCTTATAACATACCAAGATGATTCAGAGTAAGAGTAATCAAGGCCAAATCTTGATTTCTATAAAGAATAAGACTCATATCTGTGGAAAACAGATAAGTCTGTCTTTAATTTTCTATTTACAATATATCTGACTTTCCTTACTTAAAAAATTTTAAAGGTCAATGATTTTCTAAAACAGTTAAAACATGGGACATGGCTTATGGTTGTTTACATGCAGTTTTTCTGCCACAAAATTACAATTGTCAAATCATCTGACTGATAAGCTGGTAAACTATTATAGTAATCAGAAATCTGGATTAATAACAACAGATATTAGTTTAGATATCTTTTTATTATGATACAAAACAATCCTTAAATGATCTCTTTCAGAAGAACGACTTCTGCTTAATGTTTTCTGTCAGTTTACAAAAGGGAAATAACTGACCATTGCATGAATATTTGCAAGATAATTAAACTGTTACAGTACCGTAATAAATTACCTAAAGATCTGATTTAATCATCCAAGTGTCTTGATTTTAAACATAGATTTAAATATTAACTTGTCTTTAAAGATCTAATTAATAACTTGTCTTTAAAGATAGATATTGATATCAGATATAGATCTAATTAATAACTTGTCTTTAAAGATAGATATTGATTTTAGATATAGATCTTATTAATAACTTGTCTTTCAAGATATATTGATTTTGAAAAATAAATCTAAATATTATGAAACAAAAAAGGAATATTTCAATATTTTAATTTTGAATCAATGAAATAATTACCTTTTTAAGATCTTTTTAATAATTGAATATACAGTAACAAGATCCAGATTTTTAAAATTTATGATAAGGTATCATGAAAAAACATAGACCAAAAAAAACATTAGAAAAAAGACGGTGTATCATCAAATTATATAAAAATAAAACATTGAATGATTTGTAATCTAATTTTTCTATTAAAAAATAAATTTACATAATAAACACTTTACTAGCACTGTCCGATGTGTGCATATTGAAATTTGGAATAGAATGAGTTTGATAGTCCACTGAACTGCAATCAGCACTGTATTTTAGGAGAAAATGCTTCAAATTTTGATACACAGAATTTTGACCTGATAATGGATGAAAGTAGAATTAGAAGCAGTATGATCTTCACTTGCCATAAGTGTATTTTCCTTTTGATAGATGGTGGTTTGCTATATATAGTCAGAAAGACAAGCTTCACTGTATAAACAATATGCGAAACTTAAACATATTTTTGATGAAATTTAAGAAATAGGTATAATGTGAATATGACTCATGACAGAATATAGCATTATCTTTCTGACCAAATGCTGCCAAAAATAATTATAAAAGGCCAGATAAGGTCAGTCAGTTTCAAAATTTTGGTTAATTTATTTACAATGAAGTTATTGTGATTTTAATTTGATGGTTTTGAGATATTTATTATGCATGATCACAACATAATATCATACATATATGTATTGATATGAACAAGATCATGTTAAAAAAACCCATTATTAATACAATTCATATATATCATTGAAAGTCCCAAAATCATGAACCTTTGGTTTGTGAAGAGAAAAAATTATATATTGTTCATAGTCATGAATTATAATATCTTTTTTTTCAACATAAAAACCTATTCACATCAATGAATTTCTTAAAGGGTTAGTTTCATTGAATTCATTTTACATATAACAAGGCTCAACTTAAGCTAATCAAACAATTGTGCTCTTTAAATTAGTAACACACCTAATTCGACAACTAGATCCCTTCAGATTTTAAGTAAAGCTAGCACTTGAATTAGGCTTAAAATTGCATCTGAGAATATTTATAAAATTGTACAAGATGGTGTAAATTGTTTTTCTCAAGTTATGTTATAAATATCACAACACAGAATGTTCCAAAGTTTATACAAAAACTAATTTATAACTATAAATAATCTAGAAAATCACTTTTGTTAATATTCACATATAGTCTGTTTCATAAAACTTGTCTTTTATATTCACAACAATTGAATTCTATAGTCTGTTTCAACTTTTCTCCATAAAATCACTAACTTAATATTCACAAGTATATTTCACTAAAACTATTTTCACTCTCTGTTCTTTCTAGAGTCAGGATTACATCCAAAGCATGTATCTTAGAAAACATAACAAGTACCAACAAAACACATGGCTGCCTTTAAAAAGGTCTATGAACGATTTAAATGATATCTTTCTTCTTCCAATTGATAAATCACACCCAGGAGTCGGCACCCCCAGCACCTTCTCCTCCTCCCCCATCAGCTTCTAACATTAGTTCATTGGAATGAGAATAGTCATCTTGGCGTCGTCTGTTACCTTTATTAACTTGTGCATACAATGGTTCTGGATTGGAACTGTAATTATGTCTCCCATCATGAGGGGAAGAACTCTGAAGAATAAAATAGAAAATGTTAAACATGTGACAGTCTGTTAGCCCTGGAACAATCAATAAGGTGCACAAATACTTCAGAAAAGATCAATGCTAACAATTTTGGCAAGGACCATCTGATATACGGGATCCTTGGGAATATAAAATTTCATCCATTGTCACCACAATCTAACTATCACCTTGTCAGAGGTGATGAGAATTTTCAGAAATTAATTTGAAATGGAAGAAACAAATTTGAAAGCATTCACTTTCTGAGACAAACGATCTAATTATTTTCAGTATTCAGATTCATTGCATTGTAATAATCATTACTTACCGGTGGTAAATTAGGGAATAAAGGAACACCACCAACTGGTGTTTTACTACGTTGTCTTGGTTCATCAATAGTACCATAACCTGGACTTGGACCAAGATCTGACATAGGTATATCACCAGGCTAAAAACAGAACAAAAAACATTTAAAAAAAAATTATTTCAGAGTATTCTATTTGAGTGAACAAAAATCATCTAATAATTTTAGAATTAATATAAATCTCAATTTGATTAGATTTGCAGATTGATTTTAATTCATAAAAGTGGTCATTTACACTCTCACACAGCAAACCACTTAAATTGATCTCTCTGTTATTGAATTTCTTGGTCTGTCAATTCAAATTTCAAAACAATACATACCTGGCCGATTCTAGCTGAATTGCTATTAGTCATTGAATTATAACCATCATTATAAAAGGAATTATTATTGGGTGGTGGACGTTTATACATTGGACCACGAGAAAGTGTATTATCATCGTAACCTTGAGCAGAGATTGGTCGACTTAACGTATTATATGGTGTGGTATGATTACTACTTCCTGGACTCTTTAATGTACTCATTGATGATTGATGATAACTTTTACCTTCAGCTCTAAAAAATTCAATCCAAATGAAATGATATCTGTACTATTTATCTGCTCTTGTTCCTGAGCATATGAGATAGTCAAGATCATGCAGTGTGCACTGAGTGTAATTTTGGCAGGATAGCCACAGTAGCCCGCTCTTTTTCTAGTTGATGTTGAGCAATCTTTAATGTGCACAGCCTTTAACACATGAGGCCTTGATTATCATTTTAATATCAAGATTCTTTTCTCCTGAATGAAGGAATGCGTTGATGGAAAAGGAAATAAGCCAAGCTAGCAAATCTTATTTCATAGATCTGTATAGCATAACAGGGTTTAAACAGTCTTTACACAGAAAAAATACCCTGGACAGTGATGGTAAACTTCACATACTAACTACAAGAAAGATATTCTTACCTAGGTATAGCTGAAGCTGAGAGGAAATTACTTTCTTTATGTCCTAATCTAGCATATTGATTATGTAAGGCTTTAAACTGCCACATAGTACGTAAAACCTACAAAGAAAAAAAAAAATAACATTATCGAACATTAGTAAACAACTATATTAATTCAATTGATTTTAGTTTACACTTTCCTATCAAATACACAGTGTAATATTGATCTGAACAAATATTGATTAAAATATCATGATATAATCATAATCCAGGTGATAGCCTATATATAAGGTCATCCAAAGAACAGCATCCATCCTAGTCCTCTACCTTAAGAAAAGGTTTTCGATTTCCTGTGTTTGTTACTAAAGTTTTTAAATTATAATAATTAAATAATTTTTATGAGTTGTACTTACAGTTGATGCATATTTTATTGTCCTGGCAAGATATTTTCCTTCAGACATAGTTATAGACATGAGACGAGCAACACCTTTTTCTTCTAAAAATGATCTGAAATAGAAAATGAACTCTTTGCAAAATTTTCAGTAACATGATACAATGTTACTCATGTTTCAGTATATGGCTTAACTGCCCTGTATTCAGTTGAGGCACTTTTCTTTGAAAGAATACATTGTTGTTGGCAAAGGTTTAGAACTGGTTCTCGGCCCACTTTCATATGCAAAGACCTCATTAATTTTTCTTATCTGGGGGAGTATTTGAAAACAAACAACAAAACAAAAGAATCTGTAATGCACTGATCATTTACTACATACTGAAAAAAAAAATTAAATTTGGTTACTTACGATGCAAAATCCTGATTAGTTTTAACAACTTCGTATAGTGTAGCAATAACAGCACATAAAGTATCATCTGGTGGTACTAATTCTGAATGTCTGGTATCTTGTGGTAATTTACTAACTAGCTGTCTCATAGCATATTTACCTGTAATATAATGTTATAATGGTATTATAGTATTACCTACAATCATGATCTAACCAAATATATGATAGGACATGAGGCTTAAGTTATTGTTATCACGTTAATGCAAAAAACTATTTCAACAATTTAACTTTTGATTTTGCTTACTATATAGTTAGTGTAAAAATCAAATTCTTTATTTATCTGGAATCAATCTGGGTTGAAGAACAAAACAATCTTGAGGTAAGACATGTGGCTTTTTAGCTCCCAAATTGAGCAATTTTGGGTTAATTATTTCATGTAAAGTAAACTGATTGTTACTGATCGATATTTCACTACAATAAATAAGTAAAAAACTACCAACTATACTTACCGACCAATTCTTTATTTCTATCATCTATAGCTAGGTTACGTAATGCTGTTGCTGCTGCACACACCACTCGATCATTTTCAAAAGCTAATAAATCTACAAGATGTGGTAAACCTTTCTCTTTACGTACATTACCTCGAATTTCTACTGCAGGCTATAATAAATATATTTAATGTATATTACAATTACTGTTAAACAATGAATAGTCAGGAAATCAAATTTTCCATAAACTACATTTATTATGAACAAAATGATAATCTGATAAAACTGCCAATACAGTTATTTAGCATTGTGCATTTCTGCAGGTTACTACCATCACAATCCATGATTCTTCTTTTAATGAGATCTGTGGAATCTTGACCCAGTAGCATAAAAGGCTGGAACATGAGATACATAGCAATTTCATCAGATCAATGATTGCCAGTAGATTTGCTGAAATTATATATAAGCAGTTGACATCCTTCAATTGATGCCTCTTCCTATTCAAAAGAAATATACTTACTGCCCAATCACAGGCTACTAAATTCTGAATAGCACCAGCTCCAGCCTCTAATGTAATAGGATTGGAAGTATTTTTGATTAAAATTAGATATTTCTGTATAACTTCTATGCCCCATAATGCTTTATATTCATTGGCTATAGCTGGAAGTTTGGTATTCATATTTCTATAATTACAAAATGATATATTCTTATTTATCTAATATTTACATAGTTCAATGAATGATAAGTTAATGATTCAAGAATAAGTTGACAATTAAAGAATGATGAATTGACAAATTCAAGCATGAGGGATTGTCGATTCAAAAATGAGAAGTTGAATGTTCACAAATGAAAAGTTGACAATTCTAGAATTCTAGAACTTTAAATTGATTCATGAATGAAAGTTGTTAATTCAACAACTTACACTGTGTTCTGTGCGGGGCTATTTTTATTATCTCCTTTCTGTTGACCTTTCTTTTTACCAACTCCACCACCAAAACACCCAGAATTTTCACCTACAATAGAAATAAACATTAAGATACATTTCTTTCACAACTAAAATGAGTTAAAATATCTAGAATTTAGAATTCATTCCCATTTTCAAACCACATGACCTAATGATGATTTCATATCTTAAACCCATACCAAAAGCATAAAATTTTCTTAGAAAAACTTAAGTCAGATTTTAGACAATAGTTTGAAAGAAAATAAGTGGTGTCATTACCTTTATCAGTATCACGTGACATTCTTTGTAATGTATTATAGCGTTTCTTATAGAAGTCACGATCTTGAATTTCTTGTATTCTGTATGATAGATTCCGTAAAGTACAGACAACATTTTCTATTGGTTTATTATCTAAATCCATTGTATCAGCAGCTTGTTTTAATGTATGGATCAATGAATTAACTAAACCACGACATTCACGTAACCTCTTTCTTGATTCATAACCAGCAGAACTCACATTTCTAGAGAAATAAAATATATATTATGAACCCTATAATTGCATCATCTTTCATTTCATGTATGTTAGCATGATCATTTTCTACATTTGTAAGATCTGCTGTATGTATTTCAAAGATTAACACAATAGACATATTTATTAACAGGAAAAAATTTTGTAAGATAAATGGGACTTTGTCTTGCAGGGTCTTACATGTCATAACCTTCTGCCATCAGCAATTCACTTACAAAAAAATGGGTGAAAATATTTTGAAAATCTTGTCACTGTCTGTAATCTACACCTCTAGTTGGACAAGCCCTTTTGAGTAAAAAACTGCCCACTATACCCACATGGTAGTTGTTTTTAGTAGGAAAGGCAGTCCCTGCTTGAAGTTAAGTTTCCTTTAACTAATAATTCAAAGAGTCATACTGGAGTAAGATATTCCTTACCTAATGACACCAGTACCATTTCTAAATACAGTTGTCCATTGTTCATGATCTTTATATGGTGTAGAGCCAACTCTATCATATCCTGAACCTGGTATAATAACTACATTTACTAATACAGCTAGACCATCATCTATTATTGGCATCTTTAAATCCTAAAAATATTAAATAATTTTATTGACAAATTATTGTCAAGTTCTGTAATTAATTATAGATACAAAATTTAACAAATATAAGATACGTTTATTTTCTGTGAATGACCCTCACATGTTCATAAAATTTTGTTAGATCATGCATAGAGAGTATAGTTTTGAAAAAAAAAACCCAATTATTCTATAGCAAATTTTTACCTCACAAGAAGATAAATTCCATAATATTCCTGTAACTGATTCTTTGACATCTTCATCTTGAGTTTTACGTAACAACCTGATTAATTCTGGTATACCATTATAGGCTCGTATTGCTTTCTACAAACATAAATATTACAATTAATGAGTAATTATTGTGTTTATGTTGCACAGATTTTCTATACAGTCAAAAATACAATAAGCAATCCAATCCATATTAGGTATAGAATATTAAACTAACCTTATTTTCATTATTAGCTTTACCATAAGATAAATTCTGTAGAGCACCACAAGCATTTCGATGAACTTCAGGGAAATCATTACTTAATAATTTAACTAATGGCTGTATTCCACCTAACCCTCTACAATCAAATATATTACATTAAATTACATGATAAAAACCAATAAACAGTTAAGTTCAACAATGTTATCACTGTTGATCAAATTCATCAAGAGAGGTATCAGCAAAAATTCAAGGCAGATAACTGGGAAATATTTGAAGATATATACCGGTAATGGCATTTTTAAGTGAAAGCATAGAGAAAAAAAACACATTTATTTCAACTTCTTTAACAAATACAGGGGATTTTTCCTGGTTGCAGTATTAAACAGATGCCTTATGAAAAATGTTTGTTCTGAAAATTGCTCTCAATTGACTACTTGAGTTTTCTGACCAAATACCTGTGGTCAATACAATGTCTTTTTAGCTTAGCTTACCTTGTTTTGGCCTTCATATCATCATCCATAAAACATAGATGTTGTAAATAAGCTGCAGCATGTGCCTTAACATCATCATCATCATCAAGTAAATAATCTATCACTTCTTGTAAATCAGGATTACGCCATTTTGGAAATCCTGGAATTAAATGATGTGACCATGAAATTTTAGCTTAACTAATTTTCCCAGCTAAAATTGTTCTTTTGACATATCAAAGTATTTCCTACAACCAAAATATCAAGTTCAGAAAGATTCTAAAGAGTCTAAATGCTGAACAGATTTAAGATAGTGAAAAAGCTTGGCCCTGTTTGTTTTAAGTCAGTATTTCTCACTTTAGAATTCCACCCTTATGACAAAATCTCACCAGATGAGTTTTTGAGGAACAGGGTCCAGGTGTATAAATAACAAAATTAGAAGATGGAGTCTGATGCTGAAAATATTAGTCCAGAAATCAGAAAAGTCTGTAGTGTTATTACCTGGTCTACCACTATCACTGGGTGTACGTCTGCCATCAGAATAATTATAATCATTATTTACTGGTGCCTGTAATCTGTTCACATCTTCTCTGGTTTCTGGGTAATATGGTTGTTCACCTGGGTAATCATCAGGGTTATCAACATAATCATTATATTGGGGTAAATCATGATCATTATAATGATCAGGATCATGATGACTGGTATTGTAAGGTTGTTCTTCATATGGTGGTAGATGATCATCACCTGGTACTGAAAACACATGAAATGTCATTTGACCATTTGTATGGTACAGCTTTTGATACGTTAAATTGACTGGAAGTTGAAATCTTGAATAGAAGATCTAGCCTAACACACATAAATATAAATGGTCAATTTGTACAGATTTTGATGTGTCAATCTGGTGCAAACTTTGCCTTTCTTTCTAAAATTGATTGGTTATTGACCTTGAAATTTTGTACAGGAGATCTCTTTAAACTGGCCTCAATATGTTTCATGCATGTACAGGAGGAACAATTAATAAAAGGTAATAATCATAAACTTTCTTTGGATGAAAGATTTGTACATGCTGTGAAAGTGGATAGTTATATTGTTGTATGTTTTTATATTGTGTTAAGTAGTAACAAAATATTGTTGAAAACAAACTTTCTCTATGAATCAACATTTTTTTATATTGAATTCTTTCAGTAATGTTTGTAGCATAAATCAATGATATCTTACCATGCAGAGGAGATGATCCTCTATAATATGGATCTTCATCTAGTGCACGTAATCCACGATTATAACTAGCTTCACTACCACCACCATCCCGAAATGGATCATCGGCAAATGGGTCAGATCTCAGGGGAGGTAATCCTTCAAAGCGTCTGATAGAATCAGGATCATCACGAGGTGAAGTAGCATTATATTGTTCTGGACGTTGATAAGGGTCTTCTGGTTTATTAGATGAGTAACTAGCTCGAGTTCGTGGATCCTCCATATCATTATAAGGATTATGTTTAGGTCCTCTATAATCTGGACCATCAAGGTCAGTGTCTGCATAATTAGGATTCGTCACATACGGGGAATTATCGTGAGACTGATAACTGTTACGTTCACGTGGTTCACCTTGGTTGTCATGACCACTGTAAGGATCATAATGAGGGTCTTGATAACTATTTCTTTCACCAGGATATCCATTACTTTGTTCTTCCACTTCTGGATAAGGTGGTCTTCCTGGACCATTAAAATATGGATCTTCAGGTCCATTTAAGTCCGGGCGATCAGCATAATTTGGATCATTGTATTGTCTTTGTGTTGGTGTTTCATTTCCATAGCGATCAACATCACCAGCACGAATATAAGGATCACTAACAGGTGAATCACGATAACGATCATCCATATAAGGAGATTGGGAAGGAATGTGGTCACTATAATTTCCATAATCATCATGTCCAGGAGGATGATATGCTTGACCACCATGGTCAGAAGGTGCTTGATAACTGTTCCTACTTCCTGGATATGAAGGATCTCTGAAAAAAAATCATTGGAAACATATTTGGTTGTGCTTCACTATGTCTTTTTGAAATTAGTAAATATATATTTCAATGTCATAATTCATAAACAGTTTATCCTAAAAACACTTATCTTCAATATTAGCTATGCTTGACAAATTACAAAAGCTAGCTTTTAAGAAAAAACTTGACAAAGATAATTTTCAAGCTTGCAAAGACATTTATAATATAATCATCAAGGCATGAAATCTACAAGAATGTAAGGCAAAAAAAATATTATTTGTGACACAGTAAATCATGGGAATTAATTTTGAACTAGAAGTAAGTGATTTCAATTAAAAAGCAAGTCTCTAAATAGTAAATTAATACCTATTTTAGTTTCAAACCAAAAAAATTCAAGCCAAAAGTTTGCCAATTATTATACAATTTCTTTCTCTGAACACTAAATATGCAGTATCTAGTAACAAGCTATGCAGTATTACCAGCTATGCACTATCTATTAACAAGCTATGCATTATCTAATGGAATCAAATAGTACTTCTTTCTTGCAAGATAAAAGCTTAATCTATCTCTAAAGCTACAAAGCTGGTATCATCAAATATTTTCCAAGACACAATTTTAAACAGACAAATATTTTGTTTGATACTCTATAAAATGAATCACTGAGTAACTAATACTAGTAATTGTACCAGTTTTACTACTGATTAGTATGTTACAATACAATATATGTTCAAATGCAAGCTATAATCCAAATCTCACTTAATTTTTACTAACAATAATCACAGAATATCAGAGTTCAATACAATGTACTTTCAGAATTCTCTGTGAACCTAAGATATGACTTCGATGACGAGCTTGTTTCTAGCTTTTGAAAAGTAGAAAAAGTGACTATTGGTCCAAAGAGAATGCAAGACTACAGTAATAAATTCATGGCATCAATCATTATTATGCAAGCCCTATCATTTCAAATAAGGTAGCATAAATTTTGAAACAACTGCCAAAATGATGGTCTAAAAACATTATTTCTTAAGGCCCAAAAAACAGTCCAACTGCTTTAAAAATTCACAATTAAGGATTGACAAATACAACACAAAATCATAAATTTTGTCAACTATCATGCAGCAATTCCTGTATCTGATAGAGGCCCAAAAGACATCTGTGTATTCAGTGAGACTAGATGAAGTATATTAGTAATTAATATAAGCTATGTACCTTCCACCAATTGTATCATAGTGATTTACAGGCTCTAATTGCTGCTGATGACGAAAGTCTCTAGAATCCAAGCTAGGACTAGGTGAGTCAGTATAGCGTGGCGAAGCTCCCCCACCTACGTTATTATAATTAGACATGAGAGGGTTTGTAAACCTGGTGGGTGTGGTAGCTCCATGAGGTGAAGCTGTTCTTCCAATGTGGGCATAGTTTCCATTATTCTCTGGTCCTCTTAATGAACTCATTGAATTTCTTTCTCTTGGCTCATAATCAGGATTCATCAAAGTCTTTGGCACCTGAAAAAACAAAATAACATTCTATTCAAATGGAAACTATGAATACATAATTATCTTGGACCAAGTTATGCTCACAGCAAAAAACTTTGCACTTGTACAAGAGAAAATTGAACATCTTAAAGCAGTCAGAGATTGGTCTAACATAGATGACAAACCTGGACAGATTATAAGAATAGAAAGAGAGATATCTTCATAGGTAGATGAGGTAGTCATAAAAAGTGACAATATCAAATTTGTATATCACGCCTATGGAACTGGTTGAGTCAGATTTGTAAGTCTATGTCTAGCAAGTTATATCCTTAATTTTCTGCATTTCAGTTTTGGTTTACAGAATAACACTTCACTGTTAAATCTTAATAAATACATCCATTGTCGAGTGGAACAAAACATCAATACATTTATTCAATCACAAAACACAACATATTTACACCTGCCACAAAATATAACATGTCAAAACAGGTAGTTTCATGCCATTAATCAACAGACAAAAATCTAAAATGTGTGAACAACAAAGTAAAATTCACAATGAAATCCTGATTATTGTAGCATAAAATTAACTTTTCCAATAATAATCAGGAACAATATTTAACAGTAAAACTGGTTGTAACATTGACCTATTTCATGGCGTAATAATTTATTGACCAAATAACCTGTCGTCTGTATCTTTCATCTTCACGTCTGCACTTAACAAATCAATGAGCTGAACATTGTCTCAAATAAATATTGATCAGTAGCATGGCATTCTAATTCCCCTGATTCCTTCACGAAATTCACTACATTTCATTCAACTAGGCCTTATTTCTTATCATTTCTTGGATATTAGACAATAAAGTGATGACACTATTCTAATTTCAATGTAACCAATTTTAATGAGGACTATATTCAGTCAATTATTATCTCTTATCATATCTTGTTTGATGCTGGATTGATGACAACCAAGTCACAACACTGTCCTAATTGTAACATAACCAAATTAAAAGGAAGACTAGATTCAAGTAATTACATTGGCTACCAATGATTCTGGATTGAAGACAACCAGGACCATGACACTTGAACTGACCTCGATTTTAAGGAGCCTTTCTAGCCATCTACTTCAGCAATATCGATCAGTGACTTCCATTTGTAGCACTTCAACTATTGCAATGCTTGATACTGATGGTGAGACACTCATTAATGTCCTAATTCAAAACTGGACATCAAACATATATTCTTAAATATTCCTTTTTTATTATAAACACCACCGAGTCAAAACAATTGTCTTTCAAATATCAATGTCCTAATTCCATTTTTTATTAGGAACACAACTATTTAGTCTACTGTCTGATTTTAGAGTTGAAATAATCGCATAATGGCACTGACAGAGCACTCTACAATTTTCTGCTGAATATGATTAGCTTTATATGTCAAGAGTTTGATTCAATGTCAATTCAATTCAAAACTGGATATCCAAACACACTTCTTAAATGTCCTTTTTAGTATGAACACAACTATGTGAATTGTCTTTCAAAAACCATATCATGGCACTGACACTAGAATTCAATAGCTGCCTTTGACAACTTCTATGTGTCAACCAACAGTTTGATTCCAAAGCAGATATTACTAGGCAATGACACTCAAAACTGCCTTAAATTTTGTCATTTTCAATTAAATCTTGTCTTC